AACTTTGGTATACTACAGAATGTTTTTGCTGAACTTGTGAGATACACATTTACAAAGTTGTTCCAGACTGGGTTTCAGTCATACAATGTTCCAACACCGTCTCTTCACCAGTGTACATTTCTGACCATCAATGTCCCCAGTTTCCCTCCCACTATCCACCACAGGCTGTCTCTACAGCAGACATCTCTCTCTCTCCCTCTCTCTCTCTCTGTCTCTCTCTCTCTTCTTTCTCCTCTCTTCTTCTCTTTTTCCCTCTCCCCCTCCCTCTCTCTTTCCTTTGGGCATTATGTTTTGCAGTACAGGTACTGAAAGGTTATCATGTATATCCCTTTACCTCCTGAACTTGAGAAATTATTTTCTAACCTGAATTTACATTCCATGGTGATGCATGGTAAATATAGGTGTTTTACATTCCATGGTGATGCATGGTAAATATAGGTGTTTTTTTTTTCCTGCTTTTTTTTGGGTCACATCCAGCGATTTTATCACCAAGCAAATCAAATCCAAGAAAGTAAGACACTCCTGACAGTGCTCAGGGAACCATGTGGGATGCCTGCAACTGAACCCAGGTCGACCTTGTGCAAGGCAAACACCCTACCCACTGTACTATCACTCTGGCCCCAAAAGTAGTATTAAAGAGAAAAAAACTAAACTTAGCATTTCACTCATAGAAATTTGGAAAAAATAAAACCTCAAAGCTATATAATTAATTATAATACCCCAAAAGATCTTAGAAAGCAAATATCCAACAATGTTATAATTTTATTAAAATAGTAACTTACAAATAGACATGTGAGATGTTCAAATTGTGTGTCTCTTTTTTGTACAAACTTCCTAAAATACAGCCATTTCAGCTAAGACCAAACTGATTTATGCAGGACTAATCATTGCATTCAACAGGAAATTAGCCACAGCTATTTCCTGAAGATATGGTAAAATTATGAAATTTGATTCTCAGCAGCACAGTAATTTTGACATTAAAGTGGAAAAGTACGCAGAATAGTGAAAACTTCATCACTGATCCCTGCCAAATCATTTTAAGACATTCAGCTAATACTTGGCTGGAGCAATAGCACAGCGGGTAGGGCGTTCGCCTTACAAGCGGCCAACATGGCCGACCCGAGTTCGATTCCTCCGCCCCTCTCGGAGAGCCCAGCAAGCTACCGAGAGTATTCGATATGCCAGACACAGTAACAACAAAGTCTCCAATGGAGACGTTACTGGGCCCGCTCGAGCAAATCGACGATCAACGGGAGGGCCTTTACCTTTTACCTTTACCAGCTAATACTCATCTAAAACAGGGAAGCTTTTCAAGAAAACTACATTTCAGATACTTTAAAACTTCAAGCAATAGGGGCACTTGCCTTGCACGCTACCAACCTGGGTTTGATCCTTGGCATCCCATATGGTCCACACCCCCACCCCCAAGTCTGCCAGGAATGATTTCTGAGCGCAGAGCTGGGAGAAAGCCCTGGGCATCCCAGCTGTGGTTCCAAAAAACAAAATATAAAATGAAACTTCAAGTAATAGATACACATTGGTCTGACTAATTTGTGAACCATCAGACTCTTGTCAAAGACCATAAAGTATCTTATAATAGACTCTGTTCAACTCTTCATATATTAGTGTGGCTGAGCTCCAATAAAACTTTTTAGATACTGAAATTTGAACTTCATGTTTCATGTGTCTATTGACTTTTTAAAATTATTTTTTAGACATTTATAAGTATGCAACTCTCCTTTGTAGGCCACACAAAACAGGTTTACCCATCCTGAACCAGCTTTTATTTTAGTTTTTGGCACTGTGACTTACAATCCCATTAGTGGCAGGGTTTCATACATACAATGTTTCAGAACTACACACTCCACCAGAGTGTCTCTCCACCTCAACTTATCGGGCCACTCCCCACCCCCCTCAAACTGCAAGCTTCCTACTGAAGACCAGCTCTCAGTTTTTGTTGCCTTTGGGGATTCATTTCCTTACTATGCTTCTTTATATTCCGCATGAGAGATCATTCTGTATATGTCCCCTCAGCACTGGTTTTGTGAGGTAAGTAAGTATAGGTGCTAACATAGGACATGAAGAAAATGGAGAATGCTTAGTAAATGTTTAATGGAATAATGGAGGTTACCAGGATGCTTTTTGGGTCACACACTGCGATGCTCAGGGATTACTCCTGGCTCTGCACTCAGAAATTACTTCTGGTGGTACTCCAGGGACGATATTGGATACTGGAGATCAAACCTGGGTGGGCTGCGTGCAAGGCAAAGGCTCTCCCCACTATATTATCGCTCCAGTCGAACATTTATTTTGTAGCTTTAGCAATTGCATGGGATTAAATGAAGCCATACTGTACAAAATGCACTTAGAAGAGTTTATCCTGTGATTACATGTTCAGAAGGGACCTTATTTAAAAAAAAAAGTGGGGAAGGTACATTGTACATAAAGATGGCCTTGGGAAGATGAACAACAAAATGTTAAACTCATAATGTAAATTTCTCTTTCACATGTAAAATATCCATTGAAATTTTTTAAAATTTTGCTTATTTCCTAGTTTGCTTCTATATTTTTAAATTGCTCTCCATGCATTTAGGAGAAAACTAAGATTTTTCAGGATGACATTGAATCAGTCAGATCCTATGGTATCTATTTCACTACCATATCCTTCTATACAGCACCAGTGAATTAACACACAATCAGATAATGCTTCTTTACCTAGGAAATGAAATTGGTTTCTACTTAAATCATAGAATTGCTAAAGTATCTAATATAGTAATGTGCAAATACTTTGGAAACAAACAAAAAATGAAATCAACTCTGTTAGTAACAACTGACCATTTAACTGTTTCTTGTAATTAATCTTTATCTGCTTTACCTTTCTTCTAGAAGCTCCTTGAGGAGAGACCCTAAAATTTATTCATCTGTCATCAATTCCACTGGACAACTCTTTATGTACCACAGGAGCAGGGAACATTTATTTACTATACTGAAGCAATAAAACATAAAATGTATAAAAAGGACACTTGTAATAGTAACTCAGTTTTTATCTTCTAATGTTAGCTTTTTCTTTCTTCCTGAATCTCCATAATTAAATTCTAGTATGAAACTGAATGTAGTATAAAGTGTTATAAGAAGAGTACTCAGAGTTCACTAAACATTTAATCCATGATATAAAACATTACCTATTCCACCTTTTTCCCCCGCGCAGCAAGGTGGCCGCCGCCTCAAGAGTTTATTGGAAAGCCAGGTAGGAGCCCACAGTGACGGGGTAACTGGAGTCTCATGGGAAGCGGGGGGTTGGGGGGCAGTACCGGCTCGTCCTTCACGCCCTACTGAGGTCACGAGTTGCCCCCAACGAGCGGTTCTCCAGCACGGCCATAACACCAAACGCAGAGAAACCAATCTCATAATTATCTGGCTCTTTGCAGAAATCCCTCCAGACTTACCTAGTAAAATATCAGAAATCCAAAATCGTGTGGCCCCTATAGCGGCTACACGATATCATATGATTCTCATAACCACCTATAGAAAACAAATTATTTCACAATGCATTTTCAGCAATTCTGATTGTTGGGGGGAAATTCTAAACAATAATGGTGCATCTTTTGTTGAAATAATGAATGTGATCAAAGTAGAGAGAGAGTTAAATAGAAATCATCTGCCTCACAGGCATTGGGAGGGGTGGAAGGGGGGTATATTGGGGTTCTTGGTGGTGAAAAATAAGTACTGATGAAGGGAAAGGTGTTTGATCATTGTATGACCAAGTCCTAATCTTGAAAGCTTTGTAATTTTTCCCACAGTGATTCAATAAATAAATATAAGAACAAAAATATTATCTAAAGACACAACTGAGCACAATGTATTAGAAAATCAAATATAATAATCTAATTCTATTTTGTAAATATTTTATGGCACAAAAAATTTCTCTCAGATAAAACCCTAAAATAGTTTTGTCTGCTTTTTGAAAAACACACCATAATAATAAACTACATAAAGAATACAGGTAAAGCTTCTAAAGATGCCTATCACTCATTACTACTGTTCACTAATTCAAAGAATACTAATTTTATTCAATGAATCAATTTTATTCATTTATAAATTCCCTTATAAGTAGAATATAATACTCCAGATTTATCATAAAATAATGGTTTCTTCTTTCGATATAATCAGAGAACCAATAAGTGCATCAGAGAACTTTCATGTAAATCACATCAACAAAGTATTTCTTAGATTCTGTCATCATCACTATAGAAAAGCACATTTTTGGGTCAGAGCAAGAGTACTAGAGCTTCTCTCCAGGGTTCAATTCCTGGCACCTGTATGGTCCCCTTAGCCCTGCCAGGATTCATTACTGAGCAAAAAAACAGGAGTAAACCATGAGCACCACCAGTTTTGTGGTCCCCCAAAAAACAAATGAAATTTTAAAGCACATTTTCTCAGTTAACAGCAAATTAACAGCCTCAATATGAATGTAGCAAATCCAGTGGCTGTCCTAAAATTTTTTTGTTTCTGGGGGGGGGACCATACCCAAGCAATGCTCGGGGGTTACTCCTGGCTCTGCACTCAGGAATTGCTTTTAGCAGTGCAGTGTACAGGGGACCATATGAAATGTTGGCAATTGAACCCAGGTGGGCCACATTCAAGGCAAGCACACTACCTGCTGTACTATCTCTCCAGTCCCAGTTCTTTTTAACATTTTTGAAATATTTAGGTAAATAAAACTATAATCATCACTTATATTGCTCTGATTTTAATTTTACTGAATACAATTTCAAAATTATTTTAGTAGCTGATAAGTCTTAAAATTTGGCAAGAAATTATATATTTTAACTAAAATTTTCAAAATACAGTATCTTTATACAATGCAAATGTAAGATTTGTTTTTATAACTTTCTTGGTTATATCTGTCAGTTCATGCCTCACATCAAAGTCCTCATAAAAAGAAATAAATGAATAATAAAAATACAAGTTTCCCCAATTCAAAGGATGGGGCTTCTACCCCTCCTTAAAAAGTCATCAGAATTGCATGCTTTTGTATGGAAATTAGTCAGTTTCACATCATAAGATTATCAGAATAAAATAGAGTTAGATACAGTTACTGGCAAACTGGCCTAAAATAATTAGGCTTTTAATTTATAATTCCCTTTTAAAAGTCGTCATTTGATATTTACACAGCAGGTAAAAAAAATGAGGTGCCCTGCTATATTAAAATATCTCAAGATAAAAGAAACCTGAAAATAACTTCAGCACTATAGATGTTTAAAAAGTTACAGTTATTAAAACTCTGAATAAAAAATGCTTCGGACAGGTACATTTCAAAACAATATTTTATACACTTTGAAAAAAATAGGCATATTCAATATTTAAAGCATGATTTACAGATTTTATATAAGTCTCTAAGTCTCCCTTCCCCCTCCTTGGCTGCAATGCTGATTTGTATCAATTCTTCTTATATTCAGTTTACTTAGAATTCCTCTTTTTGTGTGTTTTATTTGTTTGTGGGCCACACATGGAGATGCTCAGGGATCACTCCTGGCAGGCTTGACAGACCATGTAGGATGCTGGAGATTTAAATAGGTTCAGTCAAGTGCAAGGTAAGTACCCTACCTACTATACCAACTCTCCAGCCCCTCTAACTTCTTTATGCTAAAGTAAACCTCTGTTTGTTCATTAATTTTCTATATGTTCCATTTGGTCTTGAAAGAAGTTCTTCATGTTTCCCACATTCAATAATTTTGCCTTGGTCAAGAACAGCTACAATATTAGCATTCTTAATGGTAGACAGCCGATGAGCAATAATTAACACTGTTCTTCCTTCCATGAGTCGATCTAGAGCTTCTTGTACAAGGTGCTCATTCTCGGCATCTAGTGCACTGAAACAGAAAAACCCATGTGAGAAAGCAAAGATGTCAATGCACTTTGCACTCAGAGATCACTCCTTGCAGTGCATGAACATCCATCTGGGGTGCTGGGACCAAAACCCATGATGGCAAGGCAAGCATCTTACCCATTATCCTATTTTTTCAACTTAAGAAGGAAAAATTATTTTTGTACTTAAGATAACATGTCCGTAAGTATTAAACTTTTATGGTCCTGATGTTCAGTTACTGCACTTCACCACCATCAAAGTGCCCAAGACCACACTGTTTTTACTTCTAGTCCACATTCACTCTCTCCACCCCACCACCATGGTTTGGTAATCTCAGTTTTGCAATCCAGAGCCAGTTTTTGTTCTTTTCATCAAAACTGAAACGTCTTGGGTGTCTATCTCTATTTTATAATATAAAGTTACTATTATAAGAAAGCTTGGGATACTTGGTTGCTGTGAAACTGGGAAAAAACTGGACAGTTGCTGATGAGAGTGATTAAGGCACATCACAAATGTGTCTGATTTAGAACCAGGATCATAAACTGAATAATGAACCTGCCCTTTTCTGTTATTAATAAATTATTATTTATTCAGGCTTGGTCTCCTTTTTTTGTGAGGGCTACTCTGCGTGGTACTCAGAGGCCATGTGATGGTATAAGGGATCAAATCCTGAGAAACGCACATGCAAGTCATACCTTGCCCTCAGACTAGGTCATTTTGAAATGGGTCAGAGAAGTAGTAAAGGATGGAAGGCACTTGTCTTACATGTGGCAAGAATATGTCTTGACAATCTCCACATGTGACTCAAAACCCTTCTCTCTCTCTCTCTCTCTCTCTCTCTCAAACACACACAGTAAGAGGGGAAAAGGCATTTTAACTATCAATCTGAAATAAGGTAAGGTAAAGGTAAAGGCCCTCCTGTTGAGCGTCGATTTGCTCGAGCGGGCCCAGTAACGTCTCCATTGGAGACTTTGTTGTTACTGTGTCTGGCATATCGAATACTCTCGGTAGCTTGCCGGGCAATCCGAGAGGGGCGGAGGAATCGAACTCGGGTCGGCCATGTTGGCTGCTTGTAAGGCGAACGCCCTACCTGCTGTGCTATCGCTCCAGCCCACTGTGCTATCGCTCCAGCAAGTCAAGAAAGTTCTGGTAAAGAAGATATTTGTTATAACTTACTCATAGTAATACTCATAGTATTAAGATATCCTCACCTGGTTGCTTCATCTAGGAGAAGAATCTTGGGATTCTAAAAGAGGAAAAATATTAAAAAGAAAACATTTTTATTAGAAAATATTATATCAGTAATAAAAAGATGAAGTATTTATGAAATAACATAGCTAGGCCTTGAAAACACTTTGCTAAATGAGGTGGGGCTACAGTGAAGGGAAAATAAGTAAGGGCTGCGTACTGCTAAAATGTATAAGACTTCTTTTCAGTGTGACTAATATGTTCTAAAATTGATTATAGTTATGGATACACAACTCTGAATATCATTTTGAATTATGTACTTTAAATGAGTAAACAATGTAGTACTGTTATATCACAATAATGCTACTACAAATAGTGGGGAAAAAACTAAGTGTCTGAGATAAGCACTTACAATGAAGAGTTAGAGATGATTTTAAACAATTATCAAGGTAGTCATAGGACCAGATATTATTCGTAGTACAGTTTACCCTGCTGGTGCATTAATTAACAGTGTGTGGTAAGAATCTAAAGTAAACAGAAGTTAAAATCTACAAGGCCCACTTATAGTTTAGTTATAAGTTATATGCAAACTGTATAGATTGGATATAAAAATTAGAAAAAATAAGAGCTAGCAGATATGTGAAATTAAATTCTAACTTTCCCTAGGAATCTGTTCATAATTTAATGTTACAAAAAAGACATATATAGCATTCATAAGAGTGCTCTTTATAACATCCCCAAACTAGAAACAATCCAAATGCTTATCAACTTGAGAATGATAAACTGTAAACGAGAAAGTCCCAACAGCAAGGAAAAGAATGTTGATATAGGTTACAACATGGAAGAGAAGTCTCAAAAACATTGTCAAAAATATGCAAAGATTATATCTTGTATGAATACATTTATCTAAATTCAGGAAGGCAAATCTAGACATACGATAAATAGGTGGTACCCTATGGTTTGAGATAGGAATTAGAAAGACTACAAATGGATACAATGGATCTTCTTAGAGTGTTAGAAGTTTTAAAGGAATACTGTGTTATGGTTACCACTGTAAATTTACTAAAAGTCACTGAGGAGTAAATTTAAAACTGCTGCATTTTATGAAATATAAATTATGCTACAATAAAGCTGTTTATTTTCTCTTTTCTGGGGGGTGGGGAATGGATGGTCACTGGTGGTTCTTAGGAGTGACCCCTAGCAGTGCTCAAAGTACCTTATGAATTCAAACTGGGATCAGCAACATGCAAGGCAACTGCTTTACCTCCTCAACTATGGACCAGGCCCTGCTTCTTTTCTTTTGGCTAAGAAGAGTGGAGGTTGCTACATCCAGCTTACTCAGGGAATGATGTGGTGCCAGGTCAGGTGCACCAAGGCAGGTGTGCTATCTGTACCATTTCCCTGGCCTCCTGTTCTGTCTTTTTTTAAATGACCTTTATACCAGAGGAGAATATACCTGAAGAAAAGTTATAACGTCCATGAACTTCTGTTATAATGACTTTTCTTTTGCCTTTAGTTTTGTATATGTATTATAGAGTATATTAGTACTAAATAATTATAATAATCTACAACCAGCAAACTATAGATTATACTGTTTTAACATTTTGATATATTTCACTAATTAGAACTTGAACGAGTTCATGGACTAAAAATTCCTTCACTGACAATCCTAAGTAGAGTTCTGGTTCCTCATAACAGGTAACAAGTATATTTGGTATATTTAGACAACATGTCTAAATATGAAACCCCCAATATGAAACTCCCAACTTATATTTTCCTAGAATCATCATTCTTTACCTCCAAAAAAATGAAAGAGAAGGTGGTAAATTACAAATTACAAGGTCAATATGTAAAACAGCAATGACAACAACAGAACAGTCAAGGGCTTTCAGACCTACCTTAAGCAGAGCACGAGCAATTGCAATCCGCTGTTTCTGCCCACCTGACAATGACAGTTTTTTCTTAGATGAAGGTCTTAAGAAAGATACTTGGTAATAGGTTTTTTTCTGATAAATCATGATAACTTCAAGACATTTTCTTGCAGTTAGTCATAGATAAGATATATCATAAAACAAAACCCCTGTTTTTTTAATGACCAAAGTTGGGACGAGTGAGGAATGAGAAGTTAGTGAGGTTCTGCTGCTGTTGTTTGGTTATACAGTACTAGATATCAAATCCAGATAAAGCAAAACATGTTTCCCCAATGAGCTACATCAACCTCAGGAAACCTGGAAAATGTCTCCTCATTAATTTAGAAATCAGAAACAATACTATCATAGCTAACATTTATTGAGGATTTCCTACATACCAGGAATTTTCAAAATGCGTTACATGGGGGGTATGGTGCTGTCAACAGGTCAACCTATACCTGCAGGCCGAAGTGAATCAGCAGCCTGATGGTGCCTTCAGACTTCCTGATACCCCAAAATTGCTGCTGCCTGTGGCCAGACCCCAACAACTTGGGGCCAAGTATACCAAGAAATTTAATGGTCAAAAGTTAGGCATGTGGGAGCCACACCCACAAACCACCTCCAGCTCAGCTATACAAGTTCATGTATTGGCCTTATTTCAGAGACCCATAAATCTCGAAAAAGATCAAAAGCTGCACTTAGGGCTGGTGGTGCAGCACACTGCTGACAAGTGGGCATGCCCTGAAGGGCATATGCCAATAGATTATTTCTCTAGAAAAGATGGAAACAAGGGCCATGATCCAGAGACACACAGAAGAATCTCCAAACCGAGCAGCTCGCTGCAGAGATGCCTCCAGATGTTAAGCCAGGCCAACTTCACTGGGGTGCCTCAGATGAGGAGAGGCATCATCCCACTGCCTACCTCCTAAAATCCCCCAGCGGCCGCCAACTTCTAGAACCCAATAAGAAGTGCAGGTACACGGGTTCAGTGACTGCAAACTCCAGGTCTCAAGGGAAACAGGATGGGTGGGTCCTTCTCATCCGCCCCACATGGGACCCTGGAGGTCACACCCACAAATGATCTCTGGCTGCTACTTAAGCTCCTTAACAGCCATGATACAGAGACACACAAAAGAATCTCCCAACCAAGCAGCAGCTGACTGCAGAGATTTCTCCAGACCTAATTATCTAAAATTTTAGAATTCCAGGAGCACACGGCCGCTCTCACGGCCATGTGACATCTTATGCTATTTATAACAGGCAATACAAAAGAGAGTATGAGGGAGATTGTCTGCCATAGAGGCAAGGGGGAGGGGTGGGATGGGAGAGGAATACTGGGGACCTTGGTGGTGGAAGATGTGCACTGGTGGAGGGTTGGGTGATCAATCATTGTATGATTGAAACTCAAACAGGAAAACTTTGTAACTGTATCTCATGGTGATTTCTTTGAGAAATCACCATGAGATACATTTCTTCTTTGAGAAGAAATCCAAATGGCCAAAAGGCACATGAAAAAATACTCTTCATCACTAATCAGGGAGATGCAGACAAAAATAACAATGAGATATCATCGCACATCACAGAGGCTGGCTTACATCCAAAAGAACAAAAGCAACTGTGTTGGTGTGGATATGGGGAGAAGGAAACTCTCCTTCACCACTGGTGGGAATGCTGACTGATTCAGCCTTTTTGGAAAACAATATGGACGTTTCTCAAAAAACTAGAAATTGAGTTCCCATTTGACCCAGCAATACCACTTCTCGGTAGACATCCCAGAGATGCAAAAAAATACAGTAGAAATGACATCTGCACTTTTATGTTTATTGCAGCTCTATTTACAATATCCAAAATCTGGAAAAAACCTGAGTTCCCAAGAACAGATGATTGGTTAAAGAATCTTTGGTACATCTACACAGTGAAGTACTATGCAGCTGTTAGAAAAGATGAAATAATGAAATCTGCATATAAGTGGATCAACATGGAGAGTATCATGCTAAGTCAAATGAGTAACAGAGAGAGAGAAAGAGAGAGAGACAGACAGACAGACAGACAGACATAGAATGACTGCACTCATTTGTGGACTATAAAGTAATAGAATGAGCAACTAACACCCAACGATAATAGAGGTTAAGGGCCAGGAGGATCTTCCCCTGCCTCACATCCTGGGGAAAAAGGCACCTGGGATAGAGAAGGGACCACTAAATGAATGATGCTTGGAATGCTCACTTGGGATAGGAGATGCGTGCTGAAAGTAGACTATAGACCAAACATAATGGCCACTTACTACTTGTATTGTATTGCAAACCACAAAACCCAAAAGGAGAGAGAGAGTAAAAGGGAATGTGCCTGCCATAGAGGTGGGGGCAGGGGGGTTGGGTGGGGGTGGTGGGAGGGATACTGGGAACACTGGTGGTGGAGAATGGGCACTGGTGGAGGGATGGGTATTCGATCACTGTATGACTGAAACATAATCATGAAAGTTTATAAGTTTGTATCTATCTCTCAGTGATTCATTTAATAATAATAATAATAATAATAATAATAATAATAATAATAATAATAAAATAGGGGCTGGAGCGATAGCACAGTGATAGGGCATTTGCCTTGCATACAGTCAGCCCAGCCGGGTTCGATTCCTCTTCCCCTCTCAGAGAGCCCGGCAAGCTACCAAGAGTATCTCGCCCGCACGGCAAAGGCTGGCAAGCTACCTGTTACGTATTCAATATGCCAAAAATAGTAACAACAAGTCTCACAATTTGTTGTGAGATGTTACTGGTGCCCGCTTGAGCAAATCGATGTACAACGGGAGGACAGTGTTACAGTGCTACATTACCTTATTTAAGTGTTGTCAGGAGACCTAGGGGGCTCTCCTAACAATTCTCAGCTATCTGGACTGAAAATCTTTGGGTTCATGCTGGTTGGGCCCTGTGGTTTCAGGGATTACTTGAACCATTCCAGCAGTGCCCAGGGTCTCCAAGGTCACACCTGACAGTACTCAGGAGCCTTGAGAGCTATATCTGGTAATGCCTGGTTATGTGGTGTTAGGATAGAACATAACCACTATACTATCTCCTGGCTCATTGAAAAAAACTTATGCACATACATGATATTATATATAATCATATACTTTTAAAGTAGCTGTAAATTTTTCAGTTTTCATGGTTTCTGAGCAACACCAGGCTATGTTGAGGGCTAGCTCCTGGCTCTGCACTCAGGAATTATTCCTGGAAGTGCTCAGGGGACCATAAGGCATACTGGGATCAAACTCTACTCAGCTGTGTGCAAGGCAAACACCCTACTCTCTGTACAATAGCTCCAACCCTATGAAAGCCCATATTACAGACCATCTTCCTAAATAGAATATGCAATGGAGCAAGAAAACGAGAAACCCAAGAAATTTCTAAGTTTCTGGGCAGTATGTGAAACAGATGGAGCAAAGGGTATCACAGTGTCTGGAATATATAATTCTACTCTTCTCCCTCAGAGTACTGCTTTGGAAAACTTCTGTTCTCATCTTATTCTCTTCTTTTCCCTATTCTGGGAGAAATGGCATATAATAGTTGGTGTTTGTGTGAAACTTGAGTAAAGAATAGAGTAAACCACTCTAATATCCAATGCTTATGAATGTACATATTTTTTAGGTGACATGGATTGAATTCAAGATTTCATATATCCGAAACATGTGTTTTGCCACTGAGCTACACCTGGTCCCTTCCTACTCTCCATTTTCAAAAAATTCAATTCCACTAAAAGCAAGGAACAAACAGATTTAGACGAAACTCGGGGGTATATAAAGGCCAGAGACAGATAAAAACAGAAAATATGCGACAATTTCATCTCTCATCTCTGTCTCATACCACCTTTTATCCTTTTACCCAGGATACACTATCCTTACACTGGGAAAGAATTCAGGACTCCTTCTGGGGTTTTCCATTTAGAAAACTCAGTTTCAGGCTGGAGAGAGAGTATAACAGGTAAGATGTTTGCCTTGCATGCACCCAACCCAGGTTTGGTCCCTGGTATCCCCACAATGGTCAGTGAGCCTTGTCAAGAGTGATGCCGGAATACAGAGCTAGGAGTAAGCTCTGAGTATAGCTGGGTATGGCCTAAAAAGCAAAACCAAACCAAAACGAAAGAAAACCCTCCACTACTGTAATATGAAGTGTCTACAGGGTCCTTGCTGCAAAGTAATAACAAAGTGGGACTTAAAGGGGCCAGGGATGTGGCTCAGCGCTCATGGCCACATGTGCAAAGTAGGGGATTTGATACTTTTGCACCTCAGGTGGGAACTGAGAGGGAAAGTACCTGAAAGGAGAATGCCCTTTTCTCCAACCACAGTGTTGAATCCTTGAGGGAAATTTCGGATGAAATCAGCTGCATTGGCAATATGAGCCACTTCTTGTATCTGCTCATCGGTCACCAAGGAAGGGTCATCGGCACCATAAGCAATGTTCTCAGCAATTGAGCATGAAAACAAAATTGGTTCCTACAAATTGGAAATCAAAAGTATTTATTATAAATTTTGAAACAGACTTAAAATATACATAATAAATATAGTAGTTTTGTACATGACAGTCACCCAAGAAACGATTACATTTTTCCCAAAGAATATATACTATTTTCATGATTCTACTTCCTTATCCTCTATAAATTAACCCTGCAGACTTTTTAAAAGTTCAGTTTCTACCATGAGCAGGATTTTTTGGGTGTAGGAGGGGTTACTGGGGCCATATCCAGTAGAATTCAGGAGCTGTACCTGCCTCTGTATTGGTATCCCTGTCACCTGGCTGAGTGACCCCTAGTAGTGCAAAGGGAACCATAGGTGGTACTAAGGATTCAAACTGGGGACAGCTGCATGCATGGCAAGTGCTGCCTTAACCCTTGTACTATGTCTCTGGTCTAGAACAGAAGGAATTTTATTATCTTTAGTTCACAAAGCACCACAGGAAATAAGACCCCATAGTAGGTGCGTGCACAATACTTCATGCACAGTAGGCACCTCATGAATTCAAGTTCCGCTTCTGTACAATGTGAGGTACTGGCAGATCTTGGATCCATCTGTACTTTCCAGACGCCTGCCTTCCGCTAAGCACAAAGGAGGAATCAATCTCTATCCAGAACTTTTAAAACTATACACAAGATAGGAAAATGGCATTTTGAAAGAACCCTGTAGAAGAGTGAAAAAATAAACTTCTAACTTTCTTTTTACACCCCTAAATAATATACATCATTAATATCATTACTGAGCAACTCCCATCTCCACCTGCAGCTCAGCAAGTGCAGTCAGGGTGAGGGGAAGATTTGAGGAGAACTTATTAGTGGAAGATACTTAGAAATGGGATTTCTTGGGTTTGTCCCCTCTGCACATGGTCCAGCAGTAATAAAATATAAAGAGCTATGTCAAAAGTTCCATGAAGCAAAAGGGAGTGCGCATATTACATTAATACTCTGCTGTGAAACATCTTTGCAGGGCTGGAGTGATAGCACAGCGGGTAGGGCATTTGCCTTGCACGGTCGACCTGGGTTCGATTCCCAGCATCCCGTAAGATCCCCCAAGCACCGCCAGGTCCTGAGTGCAGAGTCAGGAGTAACCCCTGTGCATCTCCGGGTGTGACCCAAAAAGAAAAAAAAAAGAAATCTTTGCAAAGAACCTCTATGGTTCTTGCCATAAACTTTGCTTGTTTATAGAGAAACATTTTATGCAAAATATTAAACTATGGCTGTTAATAAAAAATTGAAATTGCAAGTGAGTTATAGAAACAAAAATGCTTTATTATTCTCTCCCTCATCTGTGAATAATTAGCATTACAAAGTAACATTGGTCTTCAGATTTTGATAAAATATCAGTATTTCAAGTTATTCAATTTTTTAATTCAAAAGCCTAGTAAGATAGTATCAGGGTAGGACACTTACTGTACATGCAAGCTTACCTGGTGGACCCAGGTACAATTCCCAGAACCCCACTGTGGTCCCTGGAGCTCTGTCAGGAGTGATTCCTGAGCACAGAGCCAGGAGTAAGTCCTGAGCACAGCCAGGTGTGGGCCAAAAACAAACAAAAGTTTAAAGTCCATTTTTGTTCATTTGGTTTTGGGCCACACCCACCAATGCTCTGGGGTTACTCCTGTCTTTACACTAAGAAATTATTACTGACATGGCTCCAGGGACCAAATGGGATGCCAGGGATCAGACCCGGATCAGCTGCATGAAAGGCAAGCACTCAACCCACCGTGGCCCAAATTTTAAAGTCTTAAATGGCACTATTTACAAACCAAGTCTTAAAGAGGCACTATTTAAAACCAATCTGCCATGTGAGATTAGTTTAATACACCTGGAAAACACCCAGTCTTTTCCCTCTGAGTGGTTCAAGACCGAGAAAAACAATTTAGAAGGAATTATAGGAGTCACTAAGCTAGCTCAAAGGGCTAAGAGTGCATGTTTTGCATTGGGATCCCTGAGTTATATACCCATACCACAAGGTCTGCTGAGAGGAGCACTGAGCACAGAGCCAGGACCAGCTCTCAAGCGTGGCCAGATAGGACCAAAAAGAAACCAAAAGAGGAAGTGTAATAAAAACACAAACCCTGGTCTCATACCTGACTCACTGTCCCAATCTTGGATCGAAGCCAGACTGGATTTAGCTCTCGGATATCATGCCCATCAAGACAGATAGTTCCTTGTAAAGGGAAGAGGGAAGAAACATTTAGTACCATGTAGACACATTAGAATCTAGGAGAAAAATTTCCAAGACTATTTTTAAAAGATAAAAGTATACTCGAGCAGGCCCAGTAACGTCTCCATTGGAGACTTTGTTGTTACTGTGTCTGGCATATCGAATACTCTCGGTAGCTTGCCGGGCTCTCCGAGAGGGGCGGAGGAATCGAACTCGGGTCGGCCATGTTGGCTGTGTGCAAGGCAGACGCCCTACCCACATAGTGGTAGGGAGTTGGCCTTACACGTGGCCAACATGGCCGACCCGAGTTCGATTCCTCCGCCCCTCTCGGAGAGCCCGGCAAGCTACCGAGAGTATTCGATATGCCAGACACAGTAACAACAAAGTCTCCAATGGAGACGTTACTGGGCCCGCTCGAGCAAATCGACGATCAACGGGAGGGCCTTTACTTTTACCTTTTAAAAGTATACTCAAAAATCTCCAACAGGAATTAAAATGGAGTGTTTCACAGAATTTCCATGTCTACTCTGGCCCTGTTAGATAATCAGCCTTTCTAGTTGAACTATTCAGTTTACCATGCTCCAGAAGCTGCTGAGAGCTTCCTAGACCCCCTGGAGTGACTCAGTACTCCGTAGCAAGATGATTCTGTGTAAAGCTTTTATTTGGAAGTTATATGGGAGAGGAACATACTAAGGAAGCCACCAGTTGGACAAAGGCAGAGGTGACACAGTTCTGAAGCTGACATCCATAATCGAGGCTGCTTAATTCTGCCCTTTTCTGGCCATGTCAGTCTTGGCAGCCACTGGGAGGTTCTGGTTCTGCAGTGATGTTTTGGGAAAAAGTCTTACAGGCCCAACTCTGCCAATGATTTTTTAGCTCTTTGATCACTCCTTAAAACAGCTTTATTGAATAAACTGAGTTGGAATCAAATCTGACCAATCTTAAATAATGAGTTGTAACTGTGATCTTAGTTAAGAGAATTCTGTACATAGGTACAAAGCAACAGACATTCTATTTAAATTCATAGTTTTACTTTTACTAACAGTTGTTTTCTTGTTAGTATTGTTTTTTAATCCAAAATTCAATCAATCATATGGAATGCTTACTCCAGAATGATACAAGGATATAAACTTTGGGGGCTGGAGTGATAGTACAGCGGGTAGGGCATTTGCCTTGCACATAGCCAACTTCTGTTCGATTCCCAGCATCCCATAGGGTCCCCTGAGCACCGCCAGGTTTAATTCCTGAGCGCAGAGTCAGGAATAACCCCTGTGCACTGCCGGGTGTGACCCAAAAAGGAAAAAAAAAAAAATGATATAAACTTTGTAACTATGTATCAGGATGGATATTAATCAGATATATTACACTGACTTTTTATAACATGTGCAAGTGTCATTAAGTTGTACTAATGGAATTCATACAATATTATTTCAATTATACCTTTAAAAATATTCTTAAGTAAAATAACACTCTTTGTTCTGAAAGATGCTATGATGTAGTTACAAATTAAATAAAAACAAAAATGAGAAAAATTTGAGTCAGAGAGATAATTCAAAGGACTGGAATGCATGCTTTGCATGCAAAAGGTCCAGATTTAATCCCCAGTATCTCACAAGCCGAGAGCAGCCCCTAAGCTCCCAGGTTTGGCCCCAAAACAAACAGAAAGAAGGAAAGAAAAATCAATTAAGATAATCTCTACTGCCTCAAAATAGCTTCACTGGAGTGTCACATAGAAGTAAATTGCTGATGGACACATTACCTATTTCCATACTAACTACAGAGCAATCCATGAGCAGAAGCCATCAGATGGTACCAGAAACTTCTCAAGGCTTCTGCACAACATCTGGTGCCCAGTGGTACTTGCTCTCTCCTGGTGCTACTGCTGAAGAGAGTAAAAAACTTTTCTTTTGCTATTTATTTTTATTAAAGTACCATGATATAGAAAGTTCTTCAGGGGCTGGAGCAATACCACAGCAGGTAGGGCATTTGCCTTGCACACGGCCAACCCAGGTTCAATTCCCAGCATCCCATATGGTCCCCTGAGCACCACCAGGAGTGATTCCTGAGTGCAGAGCCAGGAGCATCACCAGGTGTGACCAAAAAATCCAAAAAAAAAAAAAAAGTTCTTCATCCTACCTCTTGTGCAATCTCTATGGCTTGAGTGATAAACATCTTATAGATGTTAAGCAACCCAACCTGTCCTTTTCCCATAAGGTGTAAGGGACTCAGAGACACTAGCATTAGAATTGTGTAAGTGTGACTTGGGAAATCACTGAACTTAAAGAGGCTGGACACAAAATATATACAAAATGCCTAACAAGTTCAAAACTAATATCTTTGTCTAAGGGATTTATTTTGTGGAAACAAACCCTCTGGTATTTGGAATGTTTACACTCCCGGGTCTTTGCACAGGAGAAGAGGGCTCAGGAGAGCTCTGCTCTACATTGCAGTAAATTGCTTACCGGACAGAGGATCATACAACCTCAGCAGGAGGGAAATCACTGTTGATTTTCCAGAACCACTGGGGCCAACCAGTGCAGTGACTGATCCTGATGGAATAGAAAGGCTGAAATCCTGGAATATGGGCACCTCTGGACGAGCTGGATAGGTGAAATGTACATTCTTAAACTCCAAACCACCTTGGAAGTTCTTCTCACTTAAAACAACTCCATCTGAAATATAAATATTTATTTAATGCAGAGATCAAACTTGGGCTGCACTAAATTCTCTCATTTGTCTGACTCTACATGTCAGGTCTAGAGTTTGAGCTCTTACTGGGTAAATCAGGAAGAGGTCTGCCCTTATCCTCTATGTACCAGGCACTGTACATATATGTAGAGTCTTGCTTGATCTCAGAGCCTGAAGTCACTAACAGGAGCTAAGGCTCAGAGATAACAAGTATAAGTTAGTGTTCACATTGAAGCCATCTAATTTTAAATCCAATTTGCTTCCTCCCTATGCCACAGTCTCTGCAGTTACTTTGGTCCAGAATATTTCTTATCTACTTATGACAAATGTGAGACTGTTGCAAAACAGATGTGGACCTGTGAATGTCGGACATCTGTCCTGTCCTTTTATTACCTTGCTACTGACTAGGAAGAAGTCTGCTCAGTATCTCTCAACGGAGCTTATTTCCTAGTGCCTACAATAAAGAAAACTAGGCTTTCATTTGGGCTGGAGCGATAGCACAGTGGGTAGGGCATTTGCCTTGCAAGCGGCCAACATGGCCAACCCGAGTTCGATTCCTCCACCCCTCTCAGAGAGCCCAGCAAGCTACCAAGAGTATCTCGCCTGCATGGCAAAGCCTGGCAAGCTACCCATGTCATATTCAATATGCCAAACACAGTAACAACAAGTCTCACATTGGAGACGTTACTGGGCCCGCTCGAGCAAATCGATGAACAATGGGAGGACAGTGACAGTGACAGGCTTTCATTTACTGAAAATGTCCTAGGAGTCACTGAGTAGTTGGACTGGTTACTGCTCTCAGCAACCACTCCAACGCCCTCCTTTGATGGTACAGGCAAAAAAGTTCTTCCTGTGAAATACTTGCTTCCATGGAAGTAAGTTAATAAAAGAGATGATTCAGCCAATTACTATCAGCATTCTTTTCTTTTCCTTTTTTTTGAATCACAGTGATTTACTGTTACAAAGTTGTTCGTGACTGGGTTTCAGTCATATGTTCCAATACCAGTCCTTTCACCAATGTACATTTTCCACCGCCAATGTCCCCAGTTTCCCTCCTTCCACCCACTCCCACCCCCACCCCCACCCCCGCCTCTATGAAAGGCAACTCCCTCTCTCCCTCTCCCCCCTTTCTGCATTAAGGTTTGCAATACAGATACTGAAAGGTTATCATCCTTTGGTATATATCCCTTTACCTACTTTCAACACTCAGTTTTTGTCCAGAGCGATCATTTCTATTATTACCAGCATTCTCAACTCCACTTCCTCAAAGTCAAGAAATATAGAGACTTTTACATGTGTAACACCACTTCATTTCCTTACACAAATTAGCTGCCCAGATACAGATTCATCCTGGAAGATAAATCTAGTGGATTGGTGGAGCAATTCATTTGCAACTCTGTTCTGTATTGGTTTCCAGTCAATGGGTGGTAACAAAGAAACTGCAGCAAGGTAAACAGTGGGCAGCAAACTGTGTGGTGAGGCCCACAGCTGCAGGAATATTCTTGGGCTCCGCAACAGCAGCCCAGCAGCTATTCTCCCTCTGATGATCCTGCCATAAGGGGGGGAATGATATTCTTCTTATAGTCATCTTTCACAGGAAGGGCAGAGAGCTGCTCAACTATCCAAAGTGAATTTAACCCCATTTCAGACCCACCATTAAAAGGAAGCTTAGGCTCTCTCTCAAGGAGCTCCCAGAGGCGTCCTCCAGCACCTAGTCCTTTCATCAACTCTGAGTAGAAAGAGCTCAGACCTGAAAATAAGAAGCAAAGATACAAATTGAACCACTTCTGGAAACAGGAAACAGCCATCCACTACTTCACCTCTCTTGTAATAAAAATCTATTTTGAATAGACTGGGGGCCAGAATGATAGTACATCAGATATGAAGTTTGCCAAGCATGTGGCCTACCTGGATTCAATCCCCAGAACCTCACATGATCCCCCAAGTCTTGCCAGGAGTGACCCCTAAGAACAGAGCCAGGAATAAGCCCCAAGCACCACCAGCTATGACAAAAATACAGCGGAGGAAAAAATCTACTTGGGGGGCTGGAGAGATAGTACAGTGAGTAAGGCATTTGCCTTGCACACAGCTGACCCAGGTTCGATTCCCAGCATCCCATATGGTTCCCTGAACAATTCCTGAGTGCAAAGCCAGGAGTAACCTCTAGGCATCACTGGGTGTGCCCCAAAAAGCAAAAAAAAAAAAAAAGAAAAAAAATCTACTTGGGAATTCATGTTTAGTATTCCCTCTGACTCATATTTCTCCCCTTCCTATATCATTCCTATGGCATTCACGGTCGCCCGACATCTTATTATCTCATTCTTACTTTGGACAACCTGGCAGGCTATCGAATGTAACCTGCCCACACGGCAGAGTCTGGCAAACTCCCGGTGGCATACCCAATATGCCAAATACCAGTAACAATGATGGGTCTCATTCTCCTAACCCTGAAAGAGCCTTGAATATGGCACTTTTTAAAATCTCAGGGTTAGGACGAAAGAGACGTTATGGGGCCTGCTTGAGGCAATCGACAAACAACAGGATGATCGTGATTGTGATCGTGATCCTATATCATGAATTTCTTTCTGGTAAGGATTTGATGTATGATTGGGGTACAAATACATATATTCATACTAATCAATCACTGAATTAAATGATGAAGTTACAAAGTCGATATAGTAAAAATATAGCAACATAATGCTTATTTTTATTCCATACTTAAAAGTAATATAAAATATCTCAAAATTCATTTTCAACTTATTTCACAAAAATCAAACTTTTTCACGCACAATTAATATTCCTTATAAATTATATTCCTTATGTTCCTTATGAATTATATTCCTTATGTATTACATGCAGTAATCTCTCTTTCTTTCAGACTTATTTTGCTCAATAAAGCCCCATTCATGCTTCCAACAATCTCTTTTCAAAGTCACCTTTGAAGTATGATTTAACTAATAACACAAAGCAAACTCCAACTATACTGTTCTATTTTAATTTACCTGAACACACACTTGTGAAAATTTCTCTTAATATACGCAAAATGCATTGTTTTATTTCTATCACATTGTTCTAAGTATAATATTAAAAAATTCTATTGCTTTAAATAAATAAAATAGGATTTCTTGCATGGAAATTACAAAATTACTTTTGGGTTTTGGGGCTGGGCATTCATGTGATGACAGGAATTGAATCTGAGTCTCACACATACAAAACCATATGCACCAGCTTCTTGAGCCATTTCACCAGCCCTACGAGTTACTTTAAACAATGAACTTCAGGGCTGGAGCGATAGTACAGTGGGTAGGGCGTTTGCTTTGCAGGTAGCGCACAGGTTCATTCCCCACCTTCCCCCCCCCCCATTCCCATATGGGCCCCCAAGCACTGCCAGAGGTAATTCCTGAGTGCAGAGCCAGGAGTAACCCTGTGACCCAAAAATCAAACAAACAAAAACCAAAAACCAATGAACTTCACTAAAGCACTAAAAATCCTGAGGCTTTATACTGGAAAGATAGCATAGCAGGTACGGTTTAATCCCCAGAACCACAGATAGTCTCCTGATAGTATCCTGAACACCACTAGGAGTAATTCCTGAGAACATAGCCAGGAGTAAATCGTAAGCATTGCTTGGAGTGGTCCCAGTGTGCCCTCTCCAGATCTACAACACTTTTAGATGTCTCTGGAAGTCTCTCCAGAAAATATCCTCATTTGCCTGCAAATGTCTAAGAAAAAAGTCTCTACCTTTAACAAGTATACACAAAACTCTAAAACAATAAAAACTATCTGAACCCTAGTTCTGCTCATTAGATCTCAAATTATTTAACCTTCTCATCTTTTTTAATAAAAAACTATTTTTTTTTGTTTTTCAGGCCCACCCAATAGTTCTCAAATCTTACTTTTTGTTCTTGTGATTTGTTTGGGGGCCACACTCAACAATGCTCAGGGATTTCTCCTGGTTCTACATTCAAGAATTACTCCTGGCAGTGCTTGTGGGACCAACTGGGATGTCAGGGATAGAACCCTGGTCAGCTTCACGCAAGGCAAGTACTGCTCTAGCCCTAAGGGTTTACTTTTGACTCTGCTCAGGGATCATACCTGGAGAGCTCAGGGGACCATACAGGGAGCCAGAAATTGAACCCAGGTCAGCCAAATGCAAGGCAAATGTTCTACCTGCTTTACTATCTCTTTGCCATATCCAAAAATCACTTGTCCCTTTTTAACTGGAAACCAGAAAAGATAGAGATAAGAAAATGTCACACTAGGGGCTGGAGCATTAATACACTTGCTTACTTGCTTTGCATGTAGCAGTCCTAAGTCAGATACCCAGCACCACATATGGTCCCCTAAGCACTGCCAGGAGTGATTCCTGACTGTAGAGCCAGGAGTAAGCCCTGAGCAGTCAGGTGTCCCAACACAAAATAAAACAAAACAACTATTTAAGAATCTGGAGCAATAGTTCAGTAGATAGTTCATTTGCCTTGCACATGGCCAAGACAGGTTTGATTCCCCACATCACATAAGGTCCCCTAAGCCCTGAGTGCAGAGCCAAGAGTAAGTCCTGAGCACAGCTGGGTGTGGCCTCCAAATGACACAAAACAAAAAATTCACTCTATTTAGCTTAATCTTATTGGACCTTGTCTCCCTCCCCCACCGTGACTTTTTTTTTTTTTTTGCTTTTTTGGGTCACACCCGGAGATGCACAGGGGTTACTCCTGGATTTATACTCAGGAATTACTCCTGGCAGTGCTCAGGGGACCATATGGAATGCTGGGAATCAAACCCAGGTCGGCTGCGTGCAAGGCAAATGCCCTACCCGCTGTACTATCGCTCCAGCCCCCTCTCTCCTCCCCATGAATAGACAACAAAATCTTTGATCATTGCTGACATTAGAAGGTATGTGATTTGCCCATCAATATCTGTCCTTGATTATGTTTTCTTTCACACGGGTTTAGCACCAACCTTCCTGCTTCCTGCAGTCTATGATCAAAGTAAACAAGGTAAAATGCAGGTAGAGAACAATGCTCCAAGAGGACCCTGAGTAAAGGAAGGTACAGGAAACCTGTAGAAATCTGTCAAGTCCCACAGAGGAACTACTCACTAAGACAGCAGGATCACACTCATATATATTTTAATTTTTTTGCAGGGAGCGTTCAGACCTGAGAGTGTTCAGGGGCCTATTTTGGCTCTGTGCTCAGGGGTCACTTCTGGCTGTGCTCCAGGCTCCATATGATGCTGGAGATCAAACTTGGTTGGCCACATGCAAGGTAAGCATCTTAATCCCTGTCTATCCTCTGGCACCTTTTTCTTTCAGAGTCATTATAGTAAATGATTTTCCCATTGAAACCAATTGATGAGAGATGGAATAATGAGAAAGTCAAATTTGTGTTTCAGAAACTATAACCTGATTAAAAACCTTTTAACTCCTATTTAAATTATATACCTCCAATGCTTACTCCAACCCAGAAAGCATACATGAGGAACGAAGAGAGTTCACCCACTGTCATGTGGGCACTGCCCATCAGCAACCCTCCTTTGTACAGGACAGAAAGCACAATCAGGTTCCCAGAGAGCCCAGTCTGTGAAACGAAACATACATAGATATTAAGTGGGAACCAAAGACCTCAAATACAAAAAAGTAGTAATATGGTCTAAAATTTTATTTTTACATTAACTATCAGAGCAAGATTTTTTTACAAAATATTAATTTTTAAAAATGAATTGAAATTTAAAAATAATTCCAATATATTGCAGTCTTAAAGGAAATGATCTCATCAATTTCCACCTTGTCTGTCTGGAGTGGAGATGAGACTTTACATGTTCAGCCAGTTACCTGGTAGAGCTAGGCTGCTAATGTGAATTACATGCTGTTTTGTTCTTACCACCCAATGCCTTTTCTTTAACTATGTTAGCATTTCCTCCTCCTCTATTATAAAAATATCTTAAAGAAAGAAATGCTTAGTCCCGAGTTAGAATAGAATAACTTTTTATTATGGTAAGAATCATAGAAAATTTCTCCCAATAACATTTGCCCTTTTCACTTTTTCCAAAATAATGTACTTACTGCTCCAAAGAAGCCAGCCCGAGCAAATGCCTCTTTCCTTGCTAATTGCATCACATAGTCCACTTTGCTGGTGTATTTCTTTATTTCAGTCGTTTCTTTACCAAAAGCTCGAACAGTCCTTATATTTCCAATTCGTTCCTCAGCTAGCTGGGAGAATAATAAATACATCTCAGGGAATGGGAGATCACATTCCAAGATTTATAGAGGCAAAATTAAAACATGGTTCTCATGGCTTGGGGAAAAAGCATAAGGCTTTTTTTCCCCCAAAAATCAAATGGCTCAAATGGTCATGAGTTCAAATCACCAGTATCCCAAAGGAGTCCATGACAGCTCGGCTGTCTGTGATCCCTGGGTCTATAAATGCTATCCAGCTACAAAAGGGGTATGGCCTCAGCAGAAATGCCACCTGCACTTCTATGTTCATTGCAGCACTATTCATAATAGCTAGAATCTGGAAACATCCTGAGTGCCTGAGGACAGACAACTGGATACAGAAGCTATGGTACATCTACATAGTGGAATACTATGCAGCCACCAGGAAAAGATGAAGTCATGGAGTATGTTTATAAACGAATGGACTATGATACTCTTCTTTTACAAACAAAGAGTACCATGCTGAGTGAAATGAGTCAGGAGAGGGACAAACATAGAATGACTGCAATCATTTGTGGGATATAAAATACACAGAATGAGATTCTTACCCAAGGAGAGTAGAAATGAGGGCCAGGAGGATTCACCCATGGTTGGAAGCTTGCCACAAGTGGTGGAAAGAGGGCAGATGGGATAGAGAAGGGACCACTATGAGAATGATAGCTGGAAATGATCACTCTAGACAAGAACTGATTACTGAAACTAGGTAAAGGGATATACATGAAAACCTTTCCATACCTGTAATGCCCCAAAGGAAAGAGAGAGAGAAGAAAAGTGCCTGCTGTAGAGGCAGACTTGGGGTGGGGAATGGAAGGAGGACATTGGTGGTGGGAAATGAATGCTGGTGATAGGATAGGTGTTGGAACACTGTATGATGGAAACCCAACAATGAACAACTTTTGTAACTGTGTATCTCATGGTGATTTAATAAAAACAAACAAACAAAAGGGGTTGCAAGCACCCAACCCAAAACGTGAGTAAGCACTATGGCTGAGAAGTGCCGGCAAGCACCAGAACCACTGCAACTGAAGGGGAACAAACCCTGAAGACATTGCAGCCAAGTGTGTCCATAACAAGAAAGGGAAGAGGAAGGAGGGGATGAAAATTAACAATAAAATGTGGATTTTTTTTTGCTTTTATTTTTGCAGGGGGGTGGGGATCACACCCACAGATGCTCAGGGATTACTCCTGGATCAACACTCAGGAATTACTCCTGGCAGTGCTCAGGGGACCATATGGGATACTGGGATCAAACCCAATCAACCATGTACAAGATAAACACTTTGTCAGCTGTACTATCACTCCAGCCCAAAAATGTGGGTTTTTAAAAAAAAAATTGATTTTGTTGTTGGGACTATGACAGTGGTGCACTCAGGAATCACTCCTGGTGGGCTTAGGACTGAACTCTGGTCATCTGTGTGCAAGGCAAGCACCCTACTTGTAATAGTACTTCCTGTACTATTGCTGTGACCCCTAAACATGGTTTTTACTTTAAGACACTACGAATAAAAAGGTGCTCATAATACATGTGTAAGTCAAAAATTAGCTAAAAAATGTTTTAAATTTTTAAAAAAATTCTTAAAAAATGGAGCATATAGAAAAATCTATAATAGGATTGTATATAGAATAATCAGTTAAGTACATATATACATAAGTAGAAATATACAGAAATATAAACAGAAGGGTCAATGGAGAAAATAAATCTGTCTTTGTTTTTGGGCCAACCAAAACAGTGCTCAAGGATTATTCCTGGAAGGTATGTGGTACTTTGTGCAAGGTACCCACTATACTCTCTATCACGATCACGATCACGACCACCCTGTTGTTCGTCGATTGCCTCGAGCAGGTGCCAGTAACGTCTTCTTCGTCCTAGCCCTGAGATTTTTTTTTTTTAAAGTGCCATATTCAAGGCTTTTTCAGGGTTAGGAGAATGAGACCCATCATTGTTACTGGTATTTGGCATATTGGGTATACCACGGGGAGTTTGCCAGACTCTGCCGTGTGGGCATGTTACATTTGGTAGCCTGCCAGTTTGACTGAATTAGGAATGAGATGATAAGATGTTGCGCTATACTCTCTATAGACTACCTAATTTTTGGGGGGGGCAAAGGGGCCATTACCGGCAGTGTTCAAGGCTTTCTCCTGGCAGGCTCAGGGGACCATATGGGTGCTGAGGAGCGAACCCAAGTTGCCTGCATGCAAGGCAAGTACATCATCCCTATTTTGCTGGTCCCCAGCCTGCATAAATTTTTTATTATACAGGGAAAAAGATACATAAAAAGGATAGATTTCAAAATGTTAGTAACATTAATTTTGAGAGGATCATATATGTTTTTATGTACATTTTCAAATCTATTACAAACATGCATGGTTTTAATAACAAAATATAACAATTATTTTTTATTTTTTTAAAGAATGAAAAATTGGACAGAGGGCTGGAGAGATAGTACAGCAGAAAGGACCAATCTAGGTTTGATCCCCGGTATCCCATATGGCTCCCCAAGCAACACCAGGATTGATTCCTGAGCACAGTGCTATGATTAACTCCTGAGCATCACTGGGTGTGGACCAAAAACTAAAAATAAACGAACCAATTGGACAGCAGTGCAAAGCTACCTTTACTAATTAATGAAGAATAAAGTGCCAGTCACAAACTTTTCAAAATATGATTAGTCTTTTGGTCCTATAACAATAGTGTTGGGGTGAGTGATAACACTGCAGGTAAGAAGCTTGCCTTGCATGGGCTGATCCAGGTTCAATCCCTGGTATCCCCTATGGTCGCCTGAGCACTGTCAGGAGTAATTTCTTAGTGCAATGTCAGGAGTAACCCCTGAGTATCGCCAGGTATGATCCCCAAAGCCAAAAAGGGAAAAAAAAAAAGAGTGATTAACAAGCCAGGTCAGTCTGTGCATCAAAGAAAAAAGGAAGGAAGGAAGGAAGGAAGGAAGGGAGGGAAGGAGGGAGGGAAGGAGACAGTATAGTGTATAAAGCACTTGCATGCATTGCATGTGCCAGACCCTGAACCCATTTGATCCCAGAGCCCACCAGGAGTGATCTCTAAATGCAGAGCCAGTAATAAATCCTGAGCACAGCCATGCATGGCCAAAAATACGCCCCCCCCCCAAAAAAAAAGTAAAGGGGTGGGTGGGGTCGAGGAAGGGAGGGGAATGGAATGGATGATTACAAAAGGCCAGAAAGTTACAATAACACATAACAGCTTGCTTTGCATGCAGACAACCTGGATTAAATCCCTGGTATCGCATATGATCCCCCAACCCTTGAGCATAGAGCCAGGTGTAAGCCCTGAGCACAGCCAGAAAACTGGTTTTAGTATGGCCCAAAAACTAAAATAAAAAAAAATAGAAAGAAATAGTGATTAAAAAAATGTTTAGTTAAACTTAATCTACTCTGAGCATTAGAAGCATTAGATAGTAATCTCTTCTAGAAAGCTGAGTTTTTTAGTTTTTTAAGATCTTAGAGTCTAATTTAAAGTAACTTACACTTTTTTTAAAGCCTAAGTACATCCTATAGGGTCTTCCCACTGATATATTGGCTCTGGGTTTATTCTAGTTAAGACCTTGAGGATAGAGAAAGGCACTTACCTGAGTAGCTTGTGCCAGGGAGTCCTGAGTGACTTTTGTCATTTTTCGTAGGTATCGTCCATAAATCACAGCAAGGATAGATATTGGAGGCACCACACTCAAAACAAAAGTGGCCAGAGTAGGTGAGACAAAGAACTGTCAAAAACAAAAGCCAAAAAATGCTTATTACCTGATACTTATTAACGTATCAAGAAATTCTCATTAACTACTGAGGTTTTTGTTAATAGGTTGGCAAGTGCTGTCTCTCAACTGTGAATATTAAGCATGCTACACTGAAGTAACACTATAGCACTGTCCTCCCACTGTTCATCGATTTGCTCGAGCGGATGTCTCCATTGTGAGACTTGTTACTGTTTTTGGCATATCGAATACACCACAGGGAGCTTGCCAGGCTCTGCCGTGCGGGCGGGATACTCTCAGTAGCATGCCAGGCTCTCTGAAAGAGATGAAGGAATCAAATCTGGGTCGACCGCATGCAAGGCAAACACCTTACCCGCTGTGCTATTGCTCCAGTCCACTCTAGTAGTAGTAACACTAATGAGGGAGGCGCTAAAGAGAGGGTGGAAGCACTTTGGCCTCCCACCCTATACCACTTCTGGTCTGTAAGACCATGGTGTTCCACATTACAGAAATCGGAGGCAGACCAGGAGTGAAGGAGGCCTGTTCTTCCCCACAGTGGCCAGATAACACCAGGAATTTTGTATGCAAGTATAGACTACGACAGGGGCACTGAGCAAACAGAGCAACGTGCGTCACTGGAATGATCAAGATGGCTAGAGGAGAAAAATGCCCAACCTATATCAGGACCAGATTGCATATGAGAAGCCCAAGTTTAATCTCTGGTACCATATATGGTCCCCAAGCACTACCAAGAGCAACTCATAAGCACAAAACAAACAGTAGTCCCTCAGTAACTCTGGGTGTGGTCCACAAATTAAAAAATAATTATTTACTCACAAATGAATCTCTGAAGACAGCAGCACGCTGCAGAGATGTCTTCCCACCCTGCACAAGGCACCTTGGAGGGGGGCAGGTGTGTCCATCCATCTACCCCAAATGAACCCTGGCAGTCACAAACTTTCAGAATCCAATTGCCCCCTTCTCTCAGCCGACCTTCACAGGTTTGTCCCAAGTTCCTCATGCATGAGAATGAATCCACTGAAAAACCTAGTAATGCGGGACTAGTGCTGAAAACGTCCAGGTTTCATGGAGTTGGAGTTGGGCCACCTCCCCCCATCTCCGCGCCCTTCTGGTTCCCTGGGAGTCACATCCACGAACTGCTTCTAGGCACCATTTAAGTGCATTAACGTCCATGATTCAGAGACTCGGATGAATCTCGGAAGAGAGCAGTATGCTGCAGAGATGCCTCTGGACCCCAAATATTAAAAATATTAAAAATTTTATAATTCCAGGAGCGTGCAACATCTTATGCTATTCCTAACAAATAATAAAAAATACACGATTTAGCATCTGCCTATGGGGCAGGCTTGGGTGGTGGGGGGAAAATTCGAGATAATGGTGGTGGGAAGGATCTTCTTCCAGAACTTTGCTTCTCAAGTAGAATGACATTTCAAGACATGTCTTCTATTCTATAAGTCATATCTATAGGTTTACTCTGACAACACATTCTTTGCTTTGAGCTGAATGCTGTGTTGGACAGAGAAGATAAACACCCACGCCGTTTCACTATTAGAAAGCAATAGTTAAGTTCTTATCTAGAGACAAGCGGGGATGTAGAACTTCACTGTCTAAAATGATAACCCTCAAATAATTAATGAGATTTGAAACAGGGCTGTGACTGAAAAGTAGAATTTTTTTTATCTTAAACAGTTTAAGTTTTTATTTTCTTAATTTTAAGAAGAAAGGTGCGATGCTAGGGAGAGAATAGGGTTTTAAGGTACATTACTTGAATACAGCTGACTTCGGTTTGATCCCCAGCACCACATGGTCCCCCAATCATCACTGGGTACAACCCTGGGTATACACCCAAGCACCACTTGGTTTGACCCTCTAAGTACTACTGCAATGACCTAGGTTATCCCTAGCATCTACAGGACCCTTTGCAACTCTGCATCCTTGAACCCCCTTATTGAGCCATTGGTCCAACTGACCAAGAGATATTCCATAAATATAAAATGCACACTGGATTTCAAAATAATAGTATTATATATATAAAATGTCAGAATATAATATACAATATAGAAATACATATATTGATATATAGAAATATATATAAAAATATCTTTTTATTTTGGGGTCACACCATCAGAACTTAAGAGGCATTCCTGTCAAATTGCTGGTTAAGTGGATAACAGTGGATAACTTGGGACTAAACCCAGGGCTTTTAATAAAAAACAAGCAGAATATTCCATAGAGCTATATCCTCAATCCTAATCAATAATTTCAATTTTAGTTATATGTTGAGTTAATATTTTTAATACTGGATAAATAATATATTTATTGGATTAAGTAAAAAATATTATTAAAAATAACCTCATCCTGGGGGTGGAAAGACAGGACAGTGGGCAGGGTGCTTGCCTTGCACACAGCCCACCCAGGTTCAATCGCTTGCAGCCCAGGTGGTCTCGCAAGCCCAGCAGGGTTGATCCCTATCCATGAGCACACAGTCAGAAGTAGACCCTAAGAACCATGGAGTGTGATACAGAATGGTTTTTAAAACCCTCCTCTTTCTTTTTGCTTTTTTTCCTAAGATTTTATTGGCTGTTTTGAGGATTGGTACAGACATTTCAATTTGTATACAATTTTTAATATACTTACAGAGAGTCTGAAAAACTATAGAGTTGTGATTCCTTTTTAAATAGTTATTCCAGTGACTTTCCACTTTACAATTTAAAGACAAAATTTTCTTACCTGGAAATCAAGTACCAGTATTTTCAAATAAATGTTGATAAGTTATTACATCCTAAATCCTACTAATTCACAACTTAGTGTCATATACACAACATACTCAAGTTCTTTACCTTGCACAGCACAGTAACAAAAACTAGAAAAATTGGATGGCCAAGACCAACAATGTTAAATCAAGTTCATGAAATTCTGACAGGAAAAGCCAGGACCAAGGAATGGTTTTCTTTAGGAAACATTTCTATCAAACACAGCACAAAAACAGAGCAGTTAAATTTTTTATTTAATTTGATATTTTTTATTTAGTTTAAGATCTGGGGCTGGTGAGATAGCACGATGGGTAGGGTCCTTGAATGGTCCCCTGGGCATTGCCAGGAATAATTCCGGAGTGCAGAGTCAGGAGTGACCCCTAAGCATCACCAGGTGTGACCCAAAAATCAAAATAAATGAATATAAAAGAAAATTTTCAAGATCTATAAATGCACAACTGTTACACCAAACTGAGATTTTCTGTGCTTTATATACACAAGATATAAAAACCTTTCCTCTAGCTATGGAATGTTAAACTGATACCCAAGACATTCAAAGCCTTCCATATTCAATATCCCACTATTCTCTGGTTGTACCAAATATAAATAACCAACAAACAACTTCACCTCATTAAAAAAAAAACACTTACCCTTACAAAATGATATGAGGCAGTATTCCCTCCTCTTAAAAGTGTTTCTAGAGCTACTAAAAACCTTGCATTTACAAAAATTCGGTAAAAATATTCCTCTGGGTTGCACAAGAAGGGAGATGGGGTACAATGGTACGTATGGGACATGGCAGATATCAGACTTGGTGTCTCTTCATTGTCTCTGCTGTGCCAGAGGCTGGCCTCGCCTGGTTTTTGATTCTTCATTCTCTGAAGGTCTTTGGTTTCTTGGTTAGCTATGTTCACTGTTTTCCCTTGGCTCCCCTCTTCCCTTTTGCGTGCACTTTTTTGTCTAAAGATTAATCCTTCTTTGCCACTTTTTGAGCTTTGTTTTGACTTTTGTGGGGGCCACACCCAGCCGTGTTCAGGCCTCACTCATGGCTCTGAATCAGGAATCACTCCTGGTGGGCTCATGGGACCATATGGGATGCCAGGCATCAAACAGGGATTGGCTGCGTACAAGGCCAATGCTCTACCTGCATTACATCTCTTTGGCCCCCTCCTGCAACTGATGGCACTCATGGCTAACTGGCTTATCGAGTATGAGAACAACTCACCTTGAACTCACCTTCTTCTTGAGAGGCGTGGTGCAGTCAAGCCCTACCCAGAAGATACCAACAAAAGTTCAGCTGACTTACCATCATGCTAATGCCAACAGAAGCCTGGGCCCCAGCCCTGAGCCCATCGGAAAGATTTTCTGTCACTGAGCGCCCCAAAAGAGCAGTGTCTGATGAGAGGCGGTTAATCAATTCTCCTGTGCGAGTCTTGTCAAAGAAAGCAACCTCCTGCTTCATAATGGAGGAGAACAAAGAAGCCCTCAATCTATTCACAATGCGCTGACCTGCAAAAGTAAACCAGGATGGTGTCAGTATGGGAGCCTAGTGGATAGATCATGGCCTAGTCTGACCAAATCACTCCTTCAGATTTGCCATAGTCTCTGAGGCACAACTGGTGCCCTGCATCAATCTGGTAAGAACAGACTCTCCTGTGCCCTAGTAATGAGTACCATATTTTTCTTAGTAACTACTGACTATGGGTGTTGAGGAAAGGATACAGTAATAAAATAAACATAACTAAGAGATATTTTTAACCTATCATTTACAAAGTAGTTTTATTACATTAACTTCTCAAAACCTATCTTTGACCCTCCTTAGCAACCCTTTTCTGTATTGAACTTTTAAATGGAAAAACTAGTTAATTATCTACAAAGTATTTTATTAGCCAAATGGAGAGCAACTAACTTAGACGGGTGTCCTGGACTCTATCGTTTCTGTGTTTGTCTTCTACCTATTAACAAGTAAGCCTAATCACAAAAATATTGTCGAACATGTTAACTCAGCTTGTGATTCTAAAAGGGAATAACAAGCATGGAGGGAATCAACAGATTCTGAAGCTCCTAGATGACCCAGAACTCCAGGTCTGGGTTTTTTGGGGAGAGAGGGGTGTTGTTAGTGGGGGTAGAGTCTGGGGCATACCGGGTAGTGTTTACTGCCTCTATGTGCAGGTATTTTTCTGGGTGGTGCTCAGGGAACAATATGCAGTGCTGGGGATGGAATCCTGGTTCTCCACATGCAAGGCAAATGTCTTACCTGCTGTACTATCTCATTGGCCCCCCAACTCTAGCTTCTTGACTGAGGACCCCTCTCAAATCTCCCATAGACATAGGGAAACAACTCAGTCTCATTAAAACTCATTAAAAGTTTGAGTTGAGGGGCTGGAGAGATACAGTGTTGAAAGCATTTGCCTTGCATGCAGCCCACCTGTGTTCTATCTCTGGCACCACATATGGTCCCTGAGAACAGAGCCAGGAGTAGGACCTGAGCACAGCTGAGTGTGATCCAAAAACTGAAGAAAAAAGTGAGTTGAAATGAACGATCAATTTAAATAGTTCATAACTATCCCATCTAGCAAGACATAGGATTCGTCACGATTGACTTCGACGCCAGGAAGTGAGGGTAATACTAAAGTCTGTAGCACTTGAAACTTGAGGCCCAGACAACCACTCTGACTCCACTACCTACATGCTCCCTAGGATGACTCACTCACCAGAGACAAGGGACTCTTTACCTGAAGTTTGCATGAGGTAGACACGAACACCATTCGCAGCAGCACCACACAGAAACACACCACTGAGTGCCAGGCAGAACTGGGTCAAGCTGCTGCTGTATTCCACAGTGGGGTTGGTATAAATGACATCGATTATCTTCCCCAGAAAGAAGGGAGCAGACATGGTGATGACACTGGACATGGCTAGAAACCCAACAGCAGCTGAAAAACACAGGCAATTCTCAGGTTCATTAGCGCTTCAGCAAAGTGGCAGATGCTGAGTCCCCAAGCTTCCTTACCAGTAAACTGTAAGAGCTGCTCTCAATAGCTAGGTGCTTTCCTCCCTTAACTCCCGGAGATCGTATGGGTTCTCAGGCCAAAACAAGTAATCCAGTACCCAACTAAAAGAAATTACATTATCTTGGTCTGATCATCTCTTCCTTGGCAGGTACAACTGAGAACTCTAAAACTCTGTTCTGCCCTCTCTCCCCTTTCCATACATGTTGATCTCAGATGACATTTCCCCTATATTCATACGATATATATTATTATTCCTTGGCATCAATAACAAGTCTCACAATGGAGATGTTACTGGTGCCTGCTCGAGCCAATTGATGAACTACGGGAGGACAGTGCTACAGATAGTTCTACATTCTTTGTCATCAAACTGCATTTTAGTATGGAGATAAAACCATGCAACTTAAGCTCCTGATTATAGCTAATGTTTCAAAAACATTTTAACACTTGAAAATCAATTCCAGGGGCTGCAACAGTACAACAGAAAAGCCGTTTTCCTAGCACGTGACAGGGCCAGGTTCCATCCCCAGCATCCCATATCCCATACATCTCTTGAGTACAACCAGGATAATTTCTGAGTGCACAGCCAGGAGTCATCCATGACCATTACTGGACGTGTCCCCCAAACAAAATTTAAACAAAACAAAAATCAATTACAGGCATTAATTATACATGTGATATGTTCCTTTCTAATATTGCTTCTTTGGGGGAATGAAGCACCAAAATATCAAGATTATATGAAAATAAATTGTGTTTGTATAATTGATCATGAAAATAAATAAGAAAACAATTATTCGTTCAATACTCTAATAAAACACAGGGGGCTGGAGTGATAGCACAGCGGGTAGAGCATTTGCCTTGCATGCGGCCCAACCTGAGTTTGATTCCCAGCATCCCATATGATTCCCAGCATCCCAGGGGTAATTCCTGAGTGCATGAACCAGGAGTAACCCCTATGCATCGCTGGGTGTGACCAAAAAAAAAAAACACATGGGATTCTTATTAGAAATGAAAACATCAATAAATTCAATTAGGAAAAACACATATCCTAGATAACCACAATCATAATAAGAGGAATGCAAATTTAAATTACAAAGATATACCATTTTCCATCTATTATATTGGAAAAGATTAAATACTTTGATAATAAACTGTTAGTGAAGCTATGAGAAAATAAGAGCTTTAAACTTTCCCCCCCGCCCTTCAGTGAAAGGGACTGAAGAAATAGTATAGCGGACAGAGTTTGTCTTGTATGCAGCCAACCCTGGTCCAATCCCCAGTACCACAAAGCATGCAGTGGCCAGAGTGTTAGAAGTGATCCCTGCGTATAGAGCAAAGAGTAAGTTCTAAGCACTCCTATGCTCCCCAAACAAAACAAACTTATCTTATATAGCAGGTAGGGTGCTTGCCTTGCATGCAGCTGACCAGGGTTCAATCGCTGGCACCCCATAAGGTCTCCTGAACCCTATCAAGTGTGATCCCTGAGTGCAGAGCCAGGAGTAATCTCTGAGCATGCTGAGCATGGCCAAAAAAACAAACAAAAAATTAAATTGTAAGTGGGAGTGCAAACTGACATAAGGGCAATGAAAAGTTATGTGATCATACTGTTCAAACTATAAAGGCAAAGTTGGACTGATCTAGCAATGTCATATCTAACCTAGACATAGTCATTACAATAATGCATGTCAGCCAACTATTCACAGTGGTCAAAATATTCAAATGATATAAACACCTATCAATGGGAAAAAGTTAAATCAACTATGGAGCATTTATTTGATGAATACCAGGCAGTCATTTAAAAGAGTAGCTCAAAATAAGGCAAGATTCTTTTTTTTTATAATTTTTTAATTAAATTTTTTTTTAATTTTTATTAGTTAAACACCATGAGGTACAGTTGTAGACTTACAAATTTTTGTGCTTGGGTTTCAGTTATACATGATTGAATATCCATCCCTCTACCAGTGCCCATTCTCCACCACCACTGATCCCAGTATCCCTCCCACCCCCATCCCCCCCATCCCACCCTGCCTCTGTGGCAGGGCATTCCCTTTTGTTCTCTCTCTCCTTTTGGGTGCTGTGGTTAAGGCAAGATTCTTTATTTAAAAAGTCCAGGACAGGGGCCAGAGCAATAGTACAGCAGGTAGGGCATTTGCCTTGCATGAGGCCGACCCGGGTTCAATCCCCGGCATCCCATATGGTCCCCCAAGCACCGCCAGAAGTAATTCCTGAATGCAAAGCCAGGATTAACCCCTGAGCATCACTGGGTGTGACCCAAGAAGAAAAAAAAGTCCAGGACAAAAAATAAAATAAATATAAAATTTAAATGTGTGAGGTTTCTTGATTTTTTGTTTGTTTGTTTGTTTTATCTTGGAGTCAAACCCAGTGATACTCTGGGTCACTCTTAGCTCTGTGCTCAGGGGTCACTCCTGATGGTGTTCAGGAGACCATACAGTTCTGGGGATTAAACCTGGGCTCCCTACATACAAAACATGCACTCTAACCAGTTGAGTTATCTCCAGCTTACTTATTAGTTTCTCAAGTCTACACAGAAAATCTCCAGAAGAGAAACAGGAAGTATAACACAGGCTCCTTCTGAAAAGTGGCAGTAATAGTCTGGGAACCACTGGGGGATAATAGGGAAAGTATGAGGTGGGGGAAAACTCTGGTGAAGAGTTTGGTGTTCAAGCATAGTATATATGAAACCCAATCATTAACAGTATTGTATTTAGAATACACAGTGCCTAAATTTTTTTTAATTTTAATCTTAACACAGGAATTGAGCCCCAGAAGATGAGAGCTCCTGACATCCTAAGCTGTAATTGCTTCTCTATTTGTGTTTGCTTAATGTTAACACTTTAGTTTAAGGCAGTACTTTTATGTAACAACAGCAAAACCAACAACAAAAAAATAAGAAAAATGAGCAAAACTAAATTTAAAAAATTAAAAAGGGGGACTGAAGAGATAGTACAGTGGGTAGGGTGCTTGCCTGGCACATGGCTGACTAAGGAATCCCATATGGTCCCCCAAGAACCTCCAGGAATGAATGCAGAGTCAGCAGTAACCAGTGAACATCACCAGGAATAACCCCAATACTTAATTAATTAATTTAAAGGGCTGAACAGATAGCTCAAAGGGCTAAGTGCACACTTTGCATTCAGGAGACCTGGGCATGATCCCTGACACCACATGAATATCACCAGATATGACACCTGATCACAGAGCTGGGAGTATCTCCTGGGGACTGCTATCTATGTGTGGAACCCTCCAATAAAAGTATATTGTGATATACTTTAGAGTGATAGTACAGAGAGTAGGGTGTTTGCCTTGCACCCAGCCTACCCGGGTTCAATCCCCACTATCCCATACGATCCTCCAAGCACTGCCAGGAGTAATTCCTGAGTGCAGAGACAGGAGAAACCCTTGAGTATTTCTGGGTGTGACCACAAAAGCCCCCCCGAAAAAAAAAGGATATAGCAAACTTAATGATAACTGGTTACTTAGTTGGCAAATAAGAGTTTTAAGAGAAATGCAAGACTTTTAAGTAGAGAACATTTGGGACAATCACAATCTTTCTCCCCCCCCCAGATCTTCTAACATTCTCTTCTCATGGAGGCCTACTCTGACAACCTTATATAAAACAGAGGTTCTAACCTTATATAAAACAAGGACTGAGAATATGAGTCAATGGTAGTGCTTATGCCTAGAATGCCTAAGGCACTGGCTTCAATCCCTGGCCAAAAAAAAAAACAATAAACAAAAAACAGATTCACATCCTCTTCACTTTCCTCCAACCATTCTCCACCTTCTGACATCTAAATAAATAACCCACTTACTTATTGTCTCTCCATTAAAACATAGAAGATTGTTTTCTGCTTCTTTGTTCATTTTCATTTGGGGTCCACACGTGGGGGTACTCAGGGCTTACTCCTGGCTCTATTATGGTGGTACTCAGGGGACCAAATCAAATGCCAGGGATCAAACCCAAGTAGGCAGCATGCAAGGAAAGCACCCTATCCACTATACTATTGCTCTGGCTCCATTATCTATTTTGTTCACAACACGTAAGATCAAACAATTAGCAGAAACTCAACAAAGATCTGCTGAATGAAGAAAGAAGAAACAAATTGAACTCTGGAAAAGATAGCATAAAAGGATATCAGACCAAAGTTCTTTAATAGCTTCATTCTTAGAAAGGTGACCGAGCTCATAGGTCACATGATGCAGAACCTCACTGAGATCTAATCTGTCTTCCTCATCTTTGCACATTCCAAATACGGGAAAACAGCAGGGGCCTAGTTTGGGAATCAGGCTGTCCCTAAAGCGAAAAAGACTGTAGGATTAGAGCTGGAGCAGGGACCTTGTGATGCAGCGGAGGAAGGAATATTGAGAAATAAAGTGGGGTGATAGCAGGTTCTATGTTATAAAGTAGAATTGGAATTTTGCAGTAAGGCAGATTTAAAAGGCCTTTGTGTTAGAGATGATGGTTTTTCTCTACTGAATCGTAGACATTGCATTTTTAGGTGTCTAAAAATAATTTTTTTCTTTCTTCCTTTTTTTAATATTTATTTATATTTTGGGGTCACGTACAGCACTGCTCAGGGTTTATTCCTGGCTCTACACCCATAAAAAACTTCTGGCAGTGCTCAGGGGATCATATGGGATTCTGGGGATCAAACCGGGTCAACAACATTAAAGGCAAGCGCCCTACCTACTGTACTATCTCTCTGGGCCCCTTTTTTCTTTCTTTCCTTTCTTTTTTGTGGTATCAGGGACCAAATTCAGGCAAGCACTCTTCCTCTAAGCCACAACTCAGGCCCACAAAGAAACATTTCTATGGATGCAGTGACGTGGAACAATGAAGTATAGATTATAAGCCAAAGTGAAGTCACATTTGTTCTGGAAAAGGGAAAAAGATACAAGGGGCACAGAGACTAGTAGGAAGCAGAGTATTTACAAAACTCTGGAGCAATAGGCCAAACAAAGACCAGAGCCCTGGCACATCTAGTAGAAGGTCTGTCAGTGTGCTGAAAAGCTAGGGGTCTATGCTCTATTAGCAGAGAGATGTCTGCCTTTGCTGCTAGCATTTGCTGTCCTGTAAACAGGACATAGTAGAAGCCATAAAAGTAATTAAAAATTTTCTATCTGCCTTGGACTGGAGCGATAGCACAGCGGGTAGGGCGTTTGCCTTGCACACAGCCGACCCAGGTTCGACTCTTTCGTCCCTCTCGGAGAGCCCAGCAAGCTACGGAGAGTATCCCACCCACCCGACAGAGCCTGGTAAGCTACCTGTGGCGTATTTGATATGTCATACACAGTAACAAGTCTCACAATGGAGACATTATTGATGTCCACTTGAGCAAATCGATGAACAACGGGAAGATAGTGCCAATGCTACAATGCTATTTGCCATATTAAGAGTAAAATGGAACAGATAAAATTAACTTTAATAAAATCTTATTTGATCCAACATATCCAAAATACTAGTTGACCTGTACAATAATGGACCTGTCAATATAAATGACCAAAGTATTAATTGACCTATAACATTAAAAAACATAATGAATGGCATATTTTCACTTTTTTAAATACTAAGTCCTTTCAAAATCTTACGTATATTTTACAGTTAAATGAATTCTGACTAGAACATTTTACAGAATAGTTGAAAAAGGTTAATGCTTTCTGAAATTTCCACAGCTGGTCTTTCCAACTATCCCCAAATTTTTGGAGCAATCTCCATCTCAAAGGTGTATCCTCACTTCCATCAGGACTGATCTACTTTATCAGAACCTTTGTTCTGACTTGGCTTCAGGAAATAGTCATTCTAACCATGCCTAGCTTTCTCCTTGACAGCTGAATTTCCTGCTGTTATCAGGCGATACATTCTGGTCAGGTCACAGCTTCATAAATGTTAGCTGCAAACTTTGTACAAGCTCTTGGTGAGCATCTGCTTCTAAGGATAGTTTTAATCTCAAACCTCACAGACTCTTATCAGTAATTTAAGTGAGAGGCCAAAGTGAACACATTGGAAGTAGAGGGAAGCCAGCTTACTTAGAAGTTTACTTAGAAACTTGCTGGGGTAATCAGCTGGTAAGTATCCTGCTCACCACACAAAGAATGCAGGTTGGCACCAACTTTGCACTCTCACAGTTTCTTATGGATCCACAGCTCATTCTTAGAATTGGTCCCCTGCATCTAGTTCACTACAATGAATAGAACCCTCAGTGGGTTTCTTCTATCTGCCCCATATAGCAAGAGTCACTTCTTATCTTATAGGGCCACAGGGGCTCCTCAGTAAGCTCCTGAATATTTTTATTAGTAGTAGTAGTAAACCACTGTGAGCTACAGTTACAAAATCTTCATGTTTGAGTTTCAGCCATACAGTGATCGAACACCCATCCCTCCACCAGTGCACATTTTCCAACACCCATATCCCCAGTATCCACCCCCACCCTCACCCTGCCTCTTTAGCAGACAATTTCCCTCTTTCTCTCTACTTATGGGCATTATGGCTTGCAATATAGATAACGAGAGGCCATCACGTTTGCTCCTTTATCTACTTTCAGCACACATCTCCCACTGCATTTTTTTTTTTTAAGCAAAAGGGATAAGACAAGAACTATCAGTGAAAAAGAGACTGGAGAGCAGATCGCAGCTATAGGAAGATAGCCACAAAGTCTTCACAAAATGAGACACAGGGAGGATCAGGGGGTTCCTTTAGAAGAGGGATGGAAGTAATGCTAAAACTGACCCCACATCTATAAACATTTAAAACCCATTTTTAAAGTTGCCAATACAAATTATCTAAGGACAGAGTTTTAGGGTTACACAGTATTGGTAGTATACTCACAAACTGCTAAAGACAGATGATAAAATTTTTAGTCAAATGTATAGCTGAACTGTGTGGGGGAACCACATCCAGCTGTGCGCAGGGCTTACTACTGCCTCTGTACTCAAATATCACTCCTGACATTGCCCAAAGGACCAAATGGGGAGGTGGGATTCAAACCCAGGTTGGTTGCATGCAACGCAAGTGCCTTACCTGCTGTACATCTATCTCTCTGGTTCCATATAGGTGAATTTTTAAAAAGTCATTTGTATTCATTTTATTAAGTAACAAATTAACATTAGAATTCACTTTTTTTTCAACCTAAGAGCTGGAGTGATAGTACAGCAGGTATTTACCTGACAACATGGCTAACACAAGTTCAATCCTAGGCAGCACATATGATCCTCTAAATCTGGCAGGAGTGATCTCTGAGCACAGAGCCAGAGTAAACCCTGAGCACAACCAGGTGTGAAATCCCCACCTGAGACACACACACACATAAAAAGAAAAAAGACCCTAAGACCAGAAAACAGCTCAAAGGGCCAGTGTACATGCTTTGCCCATGTTGCCACCTCCAGGAACTGTTTCCAAGCACAGAGTTGGGAGCAGGCCTTTAGCACCACTGGATGTAACTCCAAAACAAAAACAAAAGACACACAAAATACGTATAGCCAGTAATACAAACAGATGTGCCAACTTCCCGGGCTACTCTTCTGATGATGGTACAAGTTAATAATGATTCCTCCCTACCCCCTCCAGGCCCTCACACAGACTTCCTCCTTTAAACAATTTTTTAGTTTGGGTCCCCCTCACCTGGCAGTGTTGAGGAACCTAGGATCAAAAATGATGCTCTGCATGCAAAGTATGTGCTCCACTCCTTTGAGCCATGTCTGGAGTCCCCTACATACTCTTTGTTTTGTTTTGGGGGCCACACCTGGCTGTGCTCTGGGCTTATTGCCGACTCTGCTCAGGTATCACTCCTCATAGGCTCAAAAGACCATCTGCAATGCCAGGGATTGAACTTGAGTCGGCTGTGTGTAAAGCCAAGTGCCTAAACTGCCATACTAGCGCTCTGCCCATCCTCCCAGCCCCACACCCCACTGCCCAGGGCTCCTGGTATTTAATCTTAATTATACAAATGCCAACATCCAGATTAACTTCAATATGTAATATCTAATGAGTTCTGCAGAAACCATATGTCCTAATAAGGTTTTTTTTTATTAGATTTGCTCAGAAACTAACATACGTATTATCTGTTAAAAACAATTTTTTTAAAGTAAACCAACCCTAGACTTATTTCCTCAAATTATGTGTTCACAATTATTCTATGCAGCCAATTAGCCCCCCTCTTCTTCAAATAAAAGGAGGTGCAATTCTTGCCTTACTTAAGACGGCTTTAACACACAGGCATGGCAGGACAAGTAAGAATGGGCGATAGGTTGTGGGAATGGTCACGGAAAAGGCAAGGCTGAAACTCCTCAGGGCTGAGTGTGAGTGAGCAAAGTCTACGGCTTAAATACCTTCCTGATAACTTGCCACGAAGCCGGGAGGTGGGGGGGGGGGGGGGGAGAGTGAGTTAGGACACAGAAAGGACCACTAGGACCACTATGACAATGATTGTTGGAAATGATCACGCTTAACAAGTACTGAGTACTGAAAGGAGGTAAAGTGATATATATCTGTTACCCTTTCAATAACAGTATTATGAACCACAGTGCTAAAAGGAAACAGAGAGAGAGAGAGAGAGAGGAAAGAGAGACAGACAGATAGACAGACAGAGAGACAGAGAGGTGTTTGCCAGAGTAAGGTTGGGGGATGGGGAGGGCTGGCAGGAGGAAAACTGGACATTGGTGGCGGGAAACACACACTGGTTAAGGAATTGGTGTTGGAACATTTTATGACTGAAACTCAATTATGAACAACTTTGTAACTGTGAATCACAAGGTGATTTAATTTTTTTTTAAAAAAAAACCTTTCTGACATCTAATAACTTAAACTACAAAACAAATCTAGATTTCCTTATGTTTACTTAGATTTGGGGAAGACCCTACAGTGCCCAGGGTCTCTAAATTTAGGGCTCCATCGGGTCTTAGGCCTACCATCATAGTCTTTGGTAAGGGCACTCTGGACTCCTACTGAGTGCACACAACACCCCCCCCACACACACACACACACAAACACACACATCAGACAGAAAGATGAATCTGACACAGCTCATTTTAACGGCTTACAGTGAGGGGACCTAGTTTCCAAGTTTTCCTTTAAAGGCAGAAGAGAGAGTACAGCAGGTAGGGCGCAAGTCTTACAAAGCTCACTCAGATTCAATTCCCAGCATCCCATTCACCACCAGGAGCAATTCCTTAGAACAGAGCCAGGAGTTAAGCCTTGAGCACCTCCGGGGGTGGCCCCAAAACAAGCAAAACAAAAAATATTTACTTTAGGGCCAGGGAATATGCTGTGTATGAAAATGGCCTAGGTTCCATCCCAGGCAGTGTTGATTTTCCGAAAAGTGTTTAAGAACTTCCTGCTTTCTACTCTGGTAGAAGTATGTGAAGTACATTTGAAAGATTTAGATTGTTTTTGCTTCATCTGACGAAAAAATATCGCTGGTTATTTCCCATTAGCCTAAAACAAATGATGTTCCCCCCCCCCCAAAAAAGTATAAGTGCATAAGACCAAATCATAGTACCAAACGAGGGTGATCTTTACCAAACTTTTTTTTTAACAAAACCTCAGCCCATTCTGAGAAGGCTGGCAAAGACAAAGCGAAACAAATGCAAAGATTCTACTAAAGAATCAGAACTGTGTGCTTAATGCTAAGAAAGCAAACATAAAAGAAATCTGCACATGGGTTTCCAGTCCTAACCCGAAAGCCTTGGTGATAGGAGATGAGCTTTCTGTTCAAACGACTAGGTGGAAACCCCCACCCTCCACCCCCAACTCCCGCCCAGGTTAAGTTCTGGACCTTCCAGCGATGTTATAAACGGGCCCTGGCAGCAGCAGCTGCAGCACGGTGTCCACTCGGTGGCCCGAGGATCAGCCCCCAGGGCCTTACCTGTCAGTCTCCAGCGCTCGGGGTACGCCAGCCTCAGGAGTTTCTGGGCTTCCGAGCGCCCGGCCGCGGCGGGGCGCAGCCCGGAGTCGTTCGGGGCAGGCGCTGATGCCGAGGGCAACGTCGGTCCGCGGCGCCAGGCCTGGTCCCCGGCCCGTGCAGCGACCGCTGCGGGACCACCCGGGAAGCCAGCGCGGGGCGCCAGGGGAGCGCCGGGGGTTCGCGCCCCGGGCCACAGCAGCCGCGCCAGGCCCGCTCCGCCACCGCCGCGGGCCCCCGCGCCCGCACGCTGCCCGCCGCTGACCCAGCGGCACGGGCTCCGCGCGGTTCCCGCGCCCCCGAGGAGCCCCGGCCCCGCGGTCCAAGGTCGCGCCGGCCCCAGGTCAGTCGGCCCCGGCCGCGGGCCCCGAACGCGACAGGCCGGCGGCCGGCGCACCAGCAGCCACAGCGGCCAGGCTGGGGCCAGCGCGTGCATGGCGCCGCGTCCGAGCCTCGCCTCGCCCGCCGAGCCCCGCGAGCACCGAGCCGGGGGAGGACCCTCCCGGCCCCACCGAGCAGAGGGCGTGGACGCGGCGCCGCCCGCCGCCCCGCCCGCTGTCACCCGCCGTCGCTCGCCTCATCAGGCCTGCGTCCCCAGCGCGCTGGGTTAACACACACACCGCCCCCCCCCCCACTCCGCCCCCGGGCCGGGGCCGGGCCCGCCCCCGAGGGCGGCGGAGCGACCCTGCACTCTGCTCTCGCCGCCGCCGAGCCCCCTGCCGCCGAGCCGGCCGTCAGCAGCGCCCCCTGTCGGGGAACCACCACCGGGTCCGAAGGGGGATCCCGGAGAACCGGGCGCGCGGCCTTGCTCGAGCGCGCGCGCGGGCGGAGGAGCGCGCACACGCTCCCTCGCGACTCCCCCGCTGCACTGGCGCCACCCAAACTGGGCCAGATCTGGTCACCGCCAAGTCTGGGCGAGGGGGAAGATCCCGGCTGCTGGACAGGACATGGGGGAGGGTAGCGCAGTGGAAAACGTGGTCCTCCAATAAGACATTTGGAGAACTGAGAAGAGAACGGTCATTTCGTGATGCAAGTATAAAAGCGGCCTGGGTCTTGGTATTTTAGGCCAGGGAAGCCTTGCAAGGAAAATCTAGCCCAGGAGGCCTGAAACCCGGCCAGGACCCAAGGAAGATGCATTCCCGGGGGCTAGTAGGAGCCTACCTGGGGTTTCGGTGTAAAGTCCTGGAGGAAAAAGAATGGATAGATTTTTGTAGATTTGTAAATATTTGTATAGGGCTGGGACGACGGTAAGATTAGTGTAAGTCATTGAGTTGGTTGCAAAAATGTATGGCTTAAAAACAAAAATTCAAAACACACCTGAAACAAGGTCCTTAGTCAAGTGCGAAAGCAAGGGAGATAGCTTCCGGAAGAGTCCTTCCAGCTCTCTGTTTGGCCCACTTGGCCACCAGGGAAATGGCTGGCATTAATTAGGAGTGTTGAAATCCGATCAAGCTGTGCCTGAATCCACTTATTCGTTTTTTTTTTTTTAATTTGTTTGCAGTCAAATGCTCTTGTTTATTTGGTTGGTTTTGAGGGCACAACCAGCAATGCTCAAGGGTTACTCCTGAGCTCTGCACTCAGTAATTGCTTCTGGCGGGGCACTGGGGTATACCCAGGGCAGGGTTTGGGGGATCAAACCAGGTCAGCTGCATGCAAGGCGAGCGCCCTACTTAATGAACTATCTTCTCCAGCCCCTGAAGTCCACTTATTCTGCAGGTGTAGAACAGTGTGTTCGTACCCTTCCACTCGCCCCTCTCCCTCCCACACACACACCCCAGTTCTTGAGCTGTGACTCAGTCTAGAGCCCATTGCAGCAAAGGAAAGTCAGTCCTACCCTCCACAAGCATTGCCGGTACAATGGGTTTCTTCACAGAAAAGAATTTGAGGAGGAGGTGAAGTAGTCAAGCAAGGTAGTTTTCCTTGTGATACCCTTTCAAGAGAGAGCTTAGGCTGCTCCAGAAGGAGAAAAAGCAAGGAATAGCTTTCTGGAGAATGCTATACACAAATTTCTCCAGATTGTCTTAGCCTGGAGTTATCTGCATGTGTGAAAGTTAATCTGGGCTTTACCTCAGGTCATGCATGTATGAAAGTTTATCTGCATGCATGAAAGTTAATCTAGGCTTTGCCTTGACCTCCTGGTGGTCCTTTCACATTATCAGGACCTTTAGAGTCTCCTGTAACTTCTCCTTTTCTGAGGGATACACACTTTTTTTGTGTGTAATGTCTCAGCTTCTCAGTTTTGTGTACTGAACTCATCTCCTAAGAGTTCAAGATTTGCATCTCAATGGAACATGTTCTTTACATCTTGGACTACTTCACAGCTAAATGGTTTCTTCCTAAGTTTTATTATTTCCCAAAAGCTCATTACCAGCCTCCTCCATCTGAATGCAACAACAACAACAAAAAAAAACCCTTTAAGGCAGTAGTTTAAAAATCAAATTTAATGAAAATTCATGACACAGAATCCACCTCTGTATTCGTGCAATCAAGAAGCAGGCAGTTGGCAGCTGGCCTAATCTACCAATTTGTTTTCTAATTTTTTTAAATTTTATTTTATAAGGTTGTTCATGTTAATTGATTACATTCAATATTTCAACACCAATCCCACCACCATTACACCTTCCCACCATCATTTTGAATTTTCCCACCACCATTCAAGCCAGGGGCAGATTCTAGACAATTTATTTTCTATTGCTTATTACGAATATCAGAGAGGTCGAAGAGTTGCTTTTGTGGTTTGTTGTCACGTGCTGCTGGAATTTTAAAATTTTAAATGGTTGAGGTCCAGAGACACCTCTGTAGGAGCTAATCCATTTTGAGATTTATTTGTGAGTCTCTGAATCAAGGTCATTGCTGCACTGAGATAGCACCTGAAGGCAGTTCATGGGAATAAGAACCAAGACGCCGAAGGGGCTGGGAGACGGGAAGGGACGCCTAATGCCATGTGTCCTGGAGTCTTAGTTCCTGAACCCGCGTACCTGGGTTTTTCTTCTGGAAGCTCATGGCCACCGCGGTTTCATCTGGAGCAGGTGGAGAGGGCACACCCTCTCCATCTGAGGTGCCCCGGTGGAACTGGGTTAGTATGGGGATCCAGAGGGATCTCTGGCAAGCTGCTATCTTCCAGGATTCACTGCTCTGTCTCTCTGTTTTCTTATTTTGAATTATTTTTGTTTATGTAGGACTACTGCTATTTATTCAGCCACTGATTAGCTGATTGAATTGTGCATAAACTCCACCTTACTTTTTTTTCATTTTTTATAATTTTATTTATTGAATCACCGTGAGAGCAGTTACAAAGCTTTCGGGTTCAAGTCTCGGTCGTACAATGAAACTCCCATACCTTCACTAGTGCCCATCCTCCACCCCCAAAAACCCCAGTATACCCCCCATCCCTCCCCCTCCCCCTACCTGTGGGGCAGATGATTTCCACATTACTCTCTCTCTACTTTGATTACATTCAATATTTTGACACCAGACCCACCATTATTATTTGGGATTTTACCCCAACAACACTCACATCTGCTGAAAAGGCAACAGTAGACAATTTGTTTTCTATTGCTGGTTATGAATAACATATGATGTCACGTGGCTGCAGTCGTGGCCGCACAATTTTGAAATTCCGAACTTTTAACACTTAAATCTGGAGGAATTTCTGCCAAAACCTGCTGGGTTCTGAGATTTGCTCCTGAGTCTCTGGGATCATGGCCGTTACACAGCTTGATCAGGAGCCAGAAAGGCCGTTCGTGGGCGATGACTTGGGGTCTTGTTGGGACAGGGATGACAGGACTGGCTCCACCCCCATCCCATGAGGCCCAACAAGTTTTGTCACTGCGGGCCCAAGCCTGACTGTCCAATGGCCTCTGGAGGATGACAGCCACCGAGCTGCCAAGGGGGAGCAGGCAGAGTGACAACACCCTTTCCCCCCTGGGGTGGCCCGGCAACAGTAACCTCCTGCAGGGTCCAGAAGCATTTCTGCCAAAAGCCAATGGGTCTCGAGATTTGTTTCTGAGTCTCTGGGATCATGGCCATTAAGCAGCTTGATCAGGAGCCAGAGAGGCTGTTCGTGGGCAATGACTTGGGGTCTCGTTGGGGTGGGGAGGCCAGGCCCAGCTCCACCCCCATCCCATGAGGCCCTGTGTGTCTCGTCACTGCAGGCCCAAATATGACTGTCCAGTGGCCTCTGGGGGAACAGGCCAAGGCACGAAACCTCTTCCCACTTGGGTTGGCCCAGCACCAGTAACCTACTGTAGGGACTGGACTCATTTCTGCCAAAAGTCGCTGGGTTTTGATATTTGTTTCTGAGTCTCTGGGATCATGGCCATTAAGCAGTTCGATCAGGAACCAGAGAGGACATGCCTCCAATTATATAGCTGAGCCAGAGGTGGTTTGTGGATGTGTTTCCCACATACCTAACTTTTGGCCATTTACTTTCTTGGTAAACTTTGCCCCAAGTTTTTGGGGTCTGGCCAAAGGCACAGCAGCAATTTTGGGGTATCTGGAAGTCTGAAGGCACCATCAGGCAGCTGATGCACTTGCCTCACAGGTACAGATTGACTTGCTGGCGGCACCATACCCCCTCTCTGTTTTCTTATTTTGAATTAGAGTTGTTGTTGTTTTTTTCTTTTTGGGTCACAACCAGCGATGCTCAGGGGTTATTTCTGGCTCTGCACTCAGGAATTACTCCTGGCAGTGCTTGGGGGACCATCTGGGATGCCAGGGATTGAACCCAGGTCAGCCACATGCAAGGCAGATGCCCTACCCACTGAACTATGGCTCTAGCCCCTAGAGTATTATTTATCTCGATCCTGAGACTTTTATGACCCAAGTACTACTCAGAAGTAAAGATAGGGGCTGGAGCCATAGTAAAGTAGGTAGGGCACTTGCTATGCATGCAACTAATCTGAGTTTGCTCCCCGCACCCCATAAGGTCCTCCAAGCACTGCCAGTAGTAACCCCTGAGCATAACCAGGTGTGGCCCAAAAACCATAAAGAAAAGAAAATAATACAGATAATAGAAATACAGTGGGCACCAGAGAGACAGTGCGACCAGCTGGCAGGGGATCCAAAGTGGTAGTACAGCGGGTAGGATACTTGCCCTGGACACTTGCCTTGCTCTCAGTTGACCTGGATTCTATACCTGGCACCCTGCATGTTCCCATGAGCACAGTCAGGAGTGATCCTTAAGCATACAGCTATGAGTGAGCCCTGAACACCACCAGGTATGCCCCCCTACCACCAAAAAAATATATTAGGCAGGGTGCTTGCCTTGCATGTGGCATATCTGGGTTAAATCCCCAGTACCCATATGGTTCCCAGATATCTCCTGGAGTGATTCTTGAGTACAGAGCCAGAAGTAAGCCCTGAGCACTATTAAAACATACTTCGATGCTGGATGAGCAGGAATCTTTAAATTTCGACCTAAGGGTTGACTTCTAAATTCCAACCTTTAGACATGGTGGTGTGGGAGTGAAGGGGCGGGTATCACATACCACCAGGTTGGCCACAAATTAGGTTCATTTGTGTCTAAATTCTAGCCACTAGCTTGTTGCAGATGCTTTTGTGCAGTGGAAAGAAGAGGGAGGTGAATGGCAGCCTCCAA